CGTGTTCCAGCCCCCAGAATCCTTTGCTCTTACCTGCCAGGAACCAAACTCTTCAAATAAGAGTTTTGAACGGAGGCCAAGAGCTTGCAGCGCCGTTCGGACTTCATGCTGGCTGCGAAATGGTGTGGGTTGCTTTTCTCCGGAAAATATACCATGGAGGCAACTGGGTCAGAATCAGGCCTTATCTGCCCCCATGCAGGGAAGGGTGGCAGAACGAATGCCCATGTGCACGGGGCGTATTCCTATTTTGGTCCTGGGAATACTCTGCTGGGAAGATCTTGAGAGACCCTGCCAGCCAAAGCACACCTCCTGATTGTCTGGAATTCAGGATTTTTTCAGTGTACACGGAATAATTATGGGGAAGCCGTTGTAAATAACGAATCTTGAGTCTGGTTCATCCCCACCCACTCCTTCTTTCTTCGGGTGGCTTCCTTCCTGTGCTTTCCTTCTCTCCCCCCCCCCCCCAACTCCCTGCAATCTGGTTGGGGTGTGCCTGAGAACAGCTGTGGGGCAAGGGGGAGGCGGGGAGAGACAAGGCGACTGCTCCGCTTTTCAAGCTGATTTTTGCTCCCCGAGGCCCCCACTTACAAACTGGGCACTTTCAACCTGTTCTCTGGCAAAGATTCCAGACTGGAGCGAACCCCGGGCAAGGAGAAGGCAGCCTTTGATATAGCATTAAATTGTGATGGAGAAGACCTTGCCGGAGGCCGTAGGAGAAAGGCAGAGGGGACTGGCGGGGGGGTGGGTGAGAGGAAAAGAAGACAGGTACTCTCTCTCTCTCTGTGTGTGTGTGTGTGTGTGTGTGTGTGCAGAAGGAAGGTGACTCTTGCATCCCACTCTAAATTTCATCAGGACTCTACTGGGCAGCTCCTTCTCATACTGGGTCTGGAATGGAGTCGGTTCGTCTGGGTCTCGTTCATCCCTGAATTCTTCTCCTCTCTTCAAACAGGAGCTTCAAATGCACTGGAGACGCCTCTCCGTCATCTCTGTGCCCCCCTCGAATCCCACCCACTCTTCCCCCCCAAATTCCTGCCTTTCTCAGCCTTTACGTTTAAAAACAAACCAACCAACACCACAGCTTTAAGGCTGAGCCTGGCCAACGTGGTCCTTCATCTCCTTGGGGCCAGCCCAACCGTTAGGCAGTGGGAGGCAGCCGCTTCAGGCAGCACTTGCTTGGTTGAAGGCGTTGGAGGGAACAGTTTTGTGCGACACAAGGTTGTTTCTGCATCTCTTAAGCTACCCTGCTGCCCTCAGGTGCAGAAGAGGACGCTTGGCAGAGCTGAAGTCAGAGGCAACTCCCAGTCCGGTCGGACTCTGCACACAGAAGAGGGAGTGTGTGTGTGATCTGGGCATTTGCCTCTGGCAGCAGAACGTCTTGGGCCAGCCTTGGCCCAGCCCTTTGCTCTCTGGCCCTCAACCCATCAGCTCAGCAAGACAATGCAAGCAGGATGTGATGGTCGGACGCATCGCCTGTTTTTCCCTCCCTTGGCAATCTAATCTGTGGCGGTCTTCCTGCTGTGGAGATGCATCCTTAAGAACATAAGAAGCGCCCCCTGGATCAGGCCAACGAGTCCAGCACCCTGTTCTCGCACTGGCCAACCAGATGCCTCTGGGAAACCCTTCAAGCAGGATTCGAACACAAGCCCTCTTCCCTTCTGCATTCAGAAGCATTGCCACCTTCAACCATGGAAGCACTGAGGACCTTCTGGCGGTTCCCTCATTGCAAGAAGTGAGGTTACAGGGAACCAGGCAGAGGGCCTTCTCGGTGGTGGCGCCCGCCCTGTGGAACGCCCTCCCATCAGATGCGAAGGAAATAAGCAGCTATCTTCTCTTTAAAAGACATCTGAAGGCAGCCCTGTTTAGGGAAGTTTTTAATATTTAATGCTGTATTGTTTTTAACACTTGATTGGAAGCCACCCAGAGTGGCTGGGGAAACTCAGCCAGATGGGCGGGGTATAAATGATAAATAATAATAATTATTATTATTATTAGCAGAGCGCCCCTGTTGTGGCCAGTCGCCATTGGGGAACACGGTGCCAGGTGCTGTACAGAATTGAGCAGCCAGGCCAGAGGTGTGTTGCTAACAAGCCCCAGCTCTTTAGAGGTCTTTGACCCTGCAGAAGGGGGCAGCAAATATATTTCCTTTCCTCCGGCCTGCTTTCCGTGTCCCCCCACCTTACCCGCCGCCGCCCCCTCCTTCCTCCTCCGCCTTCCTCGCCTCTTTCAGTCAAATTGCCCTTTGCTGGTGCATCTTTAATGAGGAGCAGCTCTTTTCGAATGCACCTGACCCTGCCGATACCTCGGCATTATTATTTATTGATCCCTTTCTCCTGTCCGCCCCCCCCCCAATTCATTACGATGTGGGAAACGTTAACCCGAAGTGCTGACCTTTAGTATTCAAATCAGGCAGTATGGTTCCTTGGCTGCCTGCATGCTGATGAGGTGCTGTTGGGTCGGCAGGCAGGGTGGCTCGGAGGTCACGGAGGTGGGGGCCTACCTTTTTATTTTATTTTATTCCTGGGGAGAGGGTGGCGGCTAACAGAAACGGCTGGATTGTGTGCTCCTAGCTGCTTCTGCGGGGGGCCCTTTCGGGCAGCAGCCGAATGCAGCTGCCGCTTCTCTATGTTTGCGCAGGGTAGGACCCTCCTGCATGCAGATGTGCCGGCACACCCAGATTCCCCCAAAATCTAGGGCGGAGCCACAAAACAAGGGACATCACACTGGGCAGGAAGGCTGCAGCTTGATTGCCAAGTGCATTGAGGAATAATAATAATAATAATAATAATAATAATTTTTATTTACCGTATTTTTTGCTCTATAAGACTCACTTTTTCCCTCCAAAAAAGCAAGGGGAAATGTGTGTGCGTCTTATGGAGCGAATGCAGGCTGTGCAGCTATCCCAGAAGCCAGAACAGCAAGAGGGATCGCTGCTTTCGCTGCGCAGCGATCCCTCTTGTTGTTCTGGCTTCTGAGATTCAGAATATTTTTTTTCTTGGTTTTCTCCTCCAAAACCTAGGTGCGTCTTATGGTCTGGTGCGTCTTATAGAGCGAAAAATACTGTATATCCTGCCCTCGCCAGCCAAAGCCGGGCTCAGAGCGGCTAGCAACAATAAAAGTAGCACAGTTCACATAAAATCACAATCAATTAATTAAAATACATTCTAAAAGCAATTCAGAATCAAATTAATGGCAACCATTGGGCTAGAGTCCTGTGAGGATTACCAAAGGAGGGCGTCAGACTGTGCCTTGGCCAAAGGCCTGGTGGAACAGCTCTGTCTTGCAGGCCCTGCGGAAAGATGTCAAGTCCCGCAGGGCCCTAGTCTCTTGTGACAGAGCGTTCCACCAGATCGGGGCCACGGCCAAAAAAGCCCTGGCTCTGGTTGAGGCCAGCCTAACCTCTCTGTGGCCCAGGACCTCCAAGATGTTTTTGTTTGAAGACCGTAAGGTCCTCCGTGGGACATACTAGGAGAGGCGGTCCCGTAGGTACGAGGGTCCTAGGCCGTATAGGGCTGGTCAAAACCAGCACCTTAAACCTGATCCTGTAATCCACTGGAAGCCAGTGCAGCTGGTATAGCACTGGGTGAATGTGATCCCGCGGCGAGGACCCCGTAAGGAGTCTCGGCGCGGCATTCTGCACCCGCTGGAGTTTCTGGGTCAGTCTCAAGGGCAGCCCCATGTAGAGTGAGTTACAATGCCTGGAGATTGACCCCCCCCCAAACGGTGGATCCTTTTTTAAAGGTAGAAAAACATCTGGTTGGCGGGCAGAAGGGCTCATCGCCAGTGGCACCACTGGCAGGCTAAATGATCAGGTAGCGGCAGGTGATGGGAGGAGCCTCTTTTCTCTGAGAGCTTGGTAGAGCAGCTGCCAGTCTGGCTGGACAGCTCTGGTCTAGACGGGCCATTGGTCTAATATTGGAGGCAGCGACTTCACATTGCAACCCAGAGCAGTTACAGGTAGGTAGCCGTGTTGGTCTGCCGTAGTCAAAGCAAAACAAAATAAATAATAATAAAAAATTTAAAAAATTCCCACCACCACTTCAAATTTGGTGATGATCTGTTCCTCTACAGCAGTGGGCATCTGCATGGCTCCACAGTATGCCAACATCTTCATGGCAGATTTAGAACGTTTCCTAAACTCCTACCCACTCAAACTTCTCTTGCGTTACATTGATGATGTTTTTATTATCTGGACACATGGTCAACAGACCCTGGACACCCTCCACCAGACATTCAATGACTTTCACCCCACCATCAACCTAACAATGAACCAATCTATGCAAGAAATACATTTTTGGGACACTACTATAAAAATACAGGACGGGCGTATGTTGTTGTTGTTTAGTCGTTTAGTCGTGTCTGACTCTTCGTGACCCCATGGACCAGAGCACGCCAGGCACTCCTGTCTTCCACTGCCTCCCGCAGTTTGGTCAGACTCATGTTTGTAGCTTCGAGAACACTGTCCAACCATCTTGTCCTCTGTCGTCCCCTTCTTCTATGGGCGTATAGGCACCACCAACCAACTGACCGTCAAACGTATCTACATGCTTCTAGCTACTATCCCAAACTTACCGAACAATCCATTGTATATAGCCAGGCTGTACGTTACAGCCACATCTGTTCACTCTAATGTGCTACTGGAAGGAATTTTTTTATTTTTTATTTTATTTGTTTTGTTTTGTTTCAACCCAGAGCAGTGAGTCTGCTGTTCTCTTTAAAAAGATAAAATAAAGGCAAATGAGATTCTGCAGGAAGAAAATTCTGGGCATGCATGAATGTGTATGCTCCTCCTTCTCGTTATTGTTAATGAGTTTTTGCCCCTCCTGTTCTGCATAATTTATTTTTAGTGCATTGTATCGCCCTGTTTCTTCTGCTCCCGGGAAGAAGGCAAAGGACTACCAGGAATGTATACCTCTTTAAATATAATACAAATAACTAAGCAGGATGTTGGAGCCCCCACCCTGGCCCCTGAAAACCTCCTTCATCCGCACCTCTGGTTTTTGCTGAGTGTTGCCCGCGGACTTTCAAGCCACAAGGACTAGAAACTTGCCTTCTTTACAAAACAAAAAGCGAAAGCTGGGGTTCTCTGGAGGCTGAATCCTGAAGCCAGTGCTGCATTCAATTCTGGATTCCCACACTCCCCAGAACTGCAGTGCTTCTATGAAAATCCAAGAGGATCTGTTGCACCGGGCGAGAGGGATTTGTGTAAACGTGCTATGTTAACCTTCAGCGTTTAAATCAGGGTGGTCCAACTTTTCATATCAAGTGGGCCACAAGAATACTTCGGCACAGAACACTGCTTTGTTGTGCGGGGGTGGGGAGTGAGGTCAAAATTGAGGACACCTGCCCCAGCCCTCCTGCTGCCTTCCCAAAGCCAGATAAGTAAGCAAGTGCCCCCCCCCTTTTGAGAAGGAGGCACAAATAATAATAATAATAATTTATTATTTATACCCCACCCATCCGGCTGGGTTTCCCCAGCCACTCTGGGCGGCTTCCAACAAAGTATTATAATACAGTAGTCTGTTAAACATTAAAAGCTTCCCTAAAGAGGGCTGCCTTCAGATGTCATCTAAAAGTCTGGTAGTTGTTCATCTCTTTGACATCTGGTGGGAGGGCGTTCCACAGGGCAGCTGCCACTACCGAGAAGGCCCTCTGCCTGGTTCCCTGTAACTTGGCTTCTCGCAGTGAGGGAACAGCCAGAAGGCCCTTGGCACTGGACCTCAGCGTCCAGGCAGAACGATGGAGGTGGAGACGCTCCTTCAGGTATACTGGACCGAGGCCATTTAGGGCTTTAAAGATCTGACAGGTTCCTAAAGCCTCCCTTTTCCTTCCCAGACCTGGCAAAGCACTAACCATGTTTTGGGAAGGAGGAGGACAGACCCCAGGACCCTGCCAGAGTCCTCATGCCTCTTTCCGAAAGCCCAGCACTATGCTTACCTGGCTGTGCAATGGCAGAACGGAGGGCTGGGATGGAGGGCTGTCCAGTGTTGCCAAGGGCCGCTGAAAAAGGCCTCAAGGGCCACACGTTGGACCACCCTGATGTTGATCAATCTGGGTAAAGAGTAAGAAGGGGGTCAGAATGCTTGGAATCCCGAAAGATGCTTCTCGTGTTCCTGACACAGCCAGGTGTTCCTTGTCTTCCAGGTGGAGCTGACAGGAAGCAGCATCTTCGATTACGTCCACCCTGGAGACCACCCTGAGGTCGCTGAGCAGCTGGGCCTGAAGCCTCCCTCGGAGACGTCTCACTCAACGCGACAGAAAGCACCCACCCTGGCCACTGCCACCTCGTCTTCTGGGCTGACGGAGACCTCTGAATCTGGTATGCCTTCTGGGTAACAGCAAGAGGGTAGAGGGCTCTTGTGCTCGGATCCTGCTTGCGGGTTTCCCATAACGGGCTTCTGCTTGGCCACTGCAAAAACAGGATGGTGGACTCGACTGGCCGCCGGCCTGACCCAGCAGGTTATTCTTACTTTCTTGCGTGCCCATGCTTCAAGCACACCGGGAAATGGGCATATTGCAAGCATGGAAGCTGTGTGTGGTTGCTCAGGTCATGGGGAACAGGCACTTGGCACATGCTTGGAGGTACCCTTTCGCCTCCAGGGCTAGAACAAAGCCATCTGTTTCAAGGGGGGGACCACCACATGGCTCCAAGGAACAGCAACAGGGAATTTCATTTTGACATTTCTGGCTCTCATCAGAGGTTTCTTGGCTGAGAGCCATGATGACTGAAGCCCCTTTAATGTCCAGTGTAAAAGGTAAAGGGACCCCTGACCATTTGGTCCAGTCGTGACCGACTCTGGGGTTGCGGCGCTCATCTCGCTCTGTAGGCCGAGGGAGCCAGCGCACAGATTCTGGGTCATGTGGCTGGCATGACTAAGCTGCTTCTGGCGAACCAGAGCAGCGCACGGAAACGCCGTTTACCTTCCCGCCGGAGCGGTACCTATTTATCTACTTGCACTTTGACGTGCTTTCGAACTGCTAGGTTGGCAGGAGCCGGGACTGAGCAACGGGAGCTCACCCCGTCACAGGGATTCGAACCGCCGACCTTCTGATCGGCAAGTCCTAGGCTCTGTGGTTTAACCCACAGCGCCACCCACATCCCAGTGCAATGTCCAGTGTAGACTAGCCTTTATAAATGAATTAAAACTTGCTCCCGAACCAGCCTACCCCCACCCGATTCTCTCTTTTTGTCAGCTTTGGCAGCCAATCACCCAGTCTCCTCCTTTTCCATAATACTGGCTATATAGTATTTCACCTTCATTAGCTCAGCAATCTTTACAACACCCCGGCGAGGTAGACCACCCCTGCAGTCTTGACATTGCAGATTGGGCTGCTGAGGTTAAGGACATGCCTATGACCAGGGCCATCTTAAGCATATGCGGCTCTGGGTGCAAAGATCTGCCCGGCGCCGCCCCCCCAGGTTGTACAGGTTGCCAAAGCCTCAGCAGCAACAGAGGAGCCCGAGGCGGCGGTTGCAACAGAGCAAGGCCGGGGCCGGGCGCCTGGGGAAGGGGTGGGCAAACAGAGCCCAGTGCAACAACGGTTGGTCCCGCGGCGGTGGCGACTGAGTGAAGCTGGGTGCCTCATGTGAACTGTGTGCGCTGGGTGGGCCTCTCGATGGCCCGCCAATCCCAGGTGCGCAGGAGGACAGAGCCAGCCGGCTGCCTCAGCGTCTCGCTTGCCCGCAGCAGAAGAGCTGCGGCGCCCTGATGGGCTCTGCTCTGCTCGGCAGCGGCTGTCGGCTCTTCCCAATCCCCGGACTCCAAATCTCTGCCCCGGAATGAGAGCCCGACGTCTGGGTGCCCCGCACCCCTAGCACCTATGGGTAAGACGGCCCTGCCTATAACCGAGTGAATTTGTGGCCGTGGCAATGGTTGAACCTGGAGTATTTCAGCTCAGGCTCCTGGGATCAAACGTCATCGCATGCAGTTGTGTGGGTTTGCAGCCCCTGTGGGTTTTCTCCCAAGGAAAACTCTCGTGGGAAGCTGGAATCGTGAATCTTTCTAGCCTGCAAAGGCAGCCAGGAAGCCTCTTTCGGAACACAGACAGAGGGGGAGAGACCTGGGTGCATAATTGGAGCACAGTGACCCCCGTCTACTCCCTTCCCCCGTGGACGCCTCCAGCTCTAACCACTGGCCAGCATTTCCCTCCCCAGGGAGTTGGTGGGAAATAAATCTTTTGAAGAAAGGGGGAGGGGAATCCCAGATAGCCGACACGATTAATTTTTAAAGCTACGTGTCTATTTATCTAGTACCAATTTATTTTTGACAGCAAACAGAAACGCCGGCACAGAATCTTCTGAACAGGCCTCTGCTCTTCCAAACAGTGGAGCTCACTCCTTTTCCCCAAATCTGGAAGAGAATCCATGCAAGGGTCATAGCTCAGTGCTAGAGCATCTGCGATTTGTGCAGAAGGCCGTAGGTTCAAACCCCGGTGTCTCTAGGTAGGCCCAGGAGAGATTCCTGCCTGAAACCCTGGAGAGGTTCTGCCGGTCAGTGTTGGACCAAGGGCTGCCAATTCCATGCCCTCCAGATGTGTTGGACTACAATTCCTAGCATCCCAGGCCATGGATCATGCTGGCAGCATCTGATGGGAGTTGTAGTTCAAAACACCTGGAGAGTGCCAGGTTGGGGGAAAGCCAGAGCAGACAACACCGACCTGGGTGAACAAATGACTCTGGCGCAATTCACGCTGTAAATTTAAAATGCTGTGATTCAGCTCTAAGCAGACATGGCTTTTGCCAAAGAAACCTCAGAACTGTTGCCTGTTAAGGCTTAACCCTGTTCCCCCTCCTACACTTCCCAGATTGTCTTACAATCAATCCCTCCTCCCAGGGAACTCTGGGAATTGTAGTTCTGGGAGAGGAGCAGGGGGGTCTCCTAACAATTCTCAGTGCCCTGAACAAACTACAGCTCCCAGGATTCTCTGGGGGAAGCCGTGACTGCTCAAAGGGGAATTGTAGAGTCACAAAATTGTAGAGGGACCACTAGGATCATCTTTTGCCCAACATGGGGCTCGAACCCACAAGATGAAGAGTCTCACGCTCATGCTTGGACTACTGCAATGCGCTCTATGTGGGGCTACCTTTGAAGGTGACCCGGAAACTACAACTAATCCAGAATGCGGCAGCTAGACTGGTGACTGGGGGGGCCCGCCGAGACCATATAACACCGGTCTTGAAAGACCTACACTGGCTCCCAGTACGTTTCCGAGCCCAATTCAAAGTGTTGGTGCTGACCTTTAAAGCCCTAAATGGCCTCAGCCCAGTATACCTGAAGGAGCCTCTCCACCCCCATCGTTCTGCCCAGACACCGAGGTCCAGCGCCGAGGGCCTTCTGGCGGTTCCCTTGCTGCGAGAAGCCAAATTACAGGGAACCAGGCAGAGGGCCTTCTTGGTAGTGGCACCCGCCCTGTGGAATGCCCTCCCACCAGATGTCAAAGAGAACAACAACTACCAACCTTTTAGAAGACATCTGAAAGCAGCCCTGTTTAGGGAAGCTTTTAATATTTAATAGGTTATTGTATTTTAGTGTTTTGTTGGAAGCCAACCAGAGTGGCTGGGGAAACCCAGCCAGATGGGCGGGGTATAAATAATAAATTATTATTATTATTATTATTATTATTATTATTATTATTATTATACCAACTGAGCTATCGCGGTGCTTTAAAGGTATGGTACGGATGCAGCCTCGGTACAAGGCATCTTTCTCTGTTTTTCCTGTGCTGCTTTGATCCTGTTTCGCCCTTGCTTGGCTGCAAGCGCCATTGGGCCGATGGGACGTTGCTGCCCGGGATCAGGCGCCAAGTCTCCAGTAGCTCTTCCCTGCTGCTTCTCTGCAAGCTGACCTGGCGGGTCAGAGGCTGCCGCCGGGTGCCCGGTTTGCCCTCTGCCCCCACCCACTTGCACACCTGCGAAGGACACCGAGGGAGAGAGAGAGAGGAGCGAAGCGGTATCTCGAGTCTCCTTCCTGCTCGTTTGGCATCCGCCTGCTCGGCTTTTATCCAGGGAACTTGTGAAAGATTTATACCGAGCTGGAAAGTAAAAGAGAATACGAGATCAGCGTTCTGCCCCTGAGTGTGTTCTCATAAGAATGTGGGGGGAGGAAAGGGGGGGTGTCAGATGAGGGGTCTGTCTCATCCAGCAGTCTCAACATGGCCTGGCTAGCTAGATTCCTCTAGGACAGCTTTCACCCCAACCCAACCCCCTTCCAGCTGTTTTGGACTACAGTTCCCATGTGGCTGTGTAACTCTGGGAGCTGCTGGGAATTGTCCAAAACAGCTGAAAGGGCTGACGCTTTTATAAACGTGAGAAGCAGGGATCCCCACAACCGAGAGAAGGAAAACGAAAGGAGTTCAGGTTGCTCAGATAAAACATTTCTTCTAGACCTGATGTCCTATGTAGGGCGTTGGAGCTGCAGAATGCTAAAATTAAATATATACTTGGTCAAGGTTCTCTCCCCCCCCCCAATTAAAAAGCTAAGCCAGGAACCAGCTCCTCGTGTGGCAGGCAGTTCCATAGGTTAAATTGTGCTTTGATGGGAGTGGATGGGAGTTGTGGTCCAAAACAGGTTGATGAAGGCTGATCTGTGAGTCCTGATTGCAGCCTCCTGTGGTTGCTTGTTTCGTTACAGTTGGGTTAGGTTAGGGTTTCTTTGTTTATTTCACTACATTTGTATCCGACCTTCTTCCTCCAAGGAGCTCAAGGTGGCATATATAATCCCCCCCCCCCATTTAATTCCCACAACAACCCGCTGAGGTAGGCTGGGTGGAGAGGCAGTGACTAGCTGAGCTTCGTGGCTGTTCAATCCACATTTTGGTTTTTATGACCTTCAATAGTTCGTTGTAGACAGCATCTTAAAAAGCAGAGACATCACCTTGCCAGCAAAGGTCCGTATAGTTCAAGCTATGGTTTTCCCAGTAGTGATGTATGGAAGTGAGAGCTGGACCATCAAGAAGGCTGATCGCCAAAGAATTGATGCTTTTGAATTATGGTGCTGGAGGAGACTCTTGAGAGTCCTATGGACTGCAAGAAGATCAAACCTATCCATTCTTAGGGTGAGGCCTTGAGTGCTCGCTGGAAGGACAGATCCTGAAGCTGAGGCTCCAATGCTTTGGCCACCTCATGAGAAGAGAAGACTCCCTGGAAAAGACCCTGATGTTGGGGAAGATGGAGGGCACAAGGAGAAGGGGGTGACAGAGGGCGAGATGGTTGGACTGTTCTCGAAGCTACCAGCATGAGTTTGACCAATGCGGGAGGCAGTGGAAGACAGGAGTGCCTGGCATGCTCTGGTCCATGGGGTCACGAAGAGTCGGACACGACTAAACAACAACAATCTGATGTAGCTCTTGGCCACATCACTGTTTTTCACACAAACTCCAGAGCATCTGTGAAGGAGTTAAGTCGAGCTGGTCCCAACACAGATTCTTCTTGCATCCCTTCATTGCATCCCTACTCTCTGCCTTTGGCCTTCAACCAGTTTCTGAGTCATATAAGGATCTCTTTCTTACCCAAAAACTGCCAAGTTCGCTCAAGAGCCATTGATGAGCTTTTGGGACGTTCAGATATATAAGATTGTTTCCAGCTAAGTTCTGCTCAAAGTAGACCCGTGAAATTAATCTAGGTTAGTCATGCCCATTAATTCGAGTGGGTCTGAGTATGACTAGCATCTGATCCAACCTCTCATGTCTACCAAATCACCCCTGGCCATGTGTTTTTTGAGACACACAAACAACTACAAAAGGCTAGAGTGAGGCAGGACCACCCATTGCAGAAACCATGCTGATTCTTCCTCAACATGGCTTGTTCTTCCATTTACTTAAAAATACTAGCTTTAATAATGGTCCCTGCAAATTTACCTAGGAGGAAAAAAATAAGGTAGTGAGTCTGTAATAGCAAATGCCCACCACATTCCTTAATGCTTAGGTTACCTTCCACTCCTCTGGGAAGAAGGAATCTGATTTTTAACGCTGAATATTTATGTTAAAAGATCAGCAGTTTTGCATTTGAGTTCTTTAAGGACTCTTGGGTGAATGCCATCTGGCTCTGACTTCTTGTTAGTTTGTGATTTGTCAATTAGCTCTTAAAGTTCACTCTTTGTCACCTCTATTTGACATAGCTCTGCAAACGCTTCTCTTCACCCCCCCCCCCCACACGAAAACAGTAGCCCAGATATGGACATCTTTCACGGGGAAGGCCAACGCACAAATACAATACGCCATTCTTCTTCAAAACTCTCCATCCTATGGAAAGTCATCTAAAGATCTTCTGGCTCCCTGGTTTCCTGTTCCTAATGTGTCCAAACTTGGCAAAACTTCTGCTTCTTAAAAGGAAGTCCGCTCACCATTTACGGTGTCCTTGACACAGCTGTTTAACCACGCTGGCATCCTCCTGGACTTTTTCAAAGGGTTACTGTATAGGTAAAAGGTAAAGGGACCCCTGACCGTTAGGTCCAGTCATGGACGACTCTGGGGTTGCGGTACTCCCTCTTGCTCTATAGGCCGAGGGAGCTGGCGTACAGCTTCCGGGTCATGTGGCCAGCATGACTAAGCCGCTTCTGGCGAACCAGAGCAGCGCACGGAAACGCCGTTTACCTTCCCGCCGGAGCGGTACCTATTTATCTACTTGCACTGGTGTGCTTTTGAACTGCTAGGTTGGCAGGAGCAGGGACTGAGCAACGGGAGCTCACCCCGTCGCGGGGATTCGAACCGCCGACCTTCTGATCGGCAAGTCCTAGGCTCTGTGGTTTAACCCACAGCGCCACCCGCGTCCCTCTACTGTATAGGTATGAATCCTGCTTGCTGGTTGGCCATTGTGAGGACAGAATGCTGGACTATGTGGGCCATTGGCCTAGTCCAACAGGCTCTGCTCATGTTCTTGGAACAGCTCCTAATATTGAAGGTGTGACACCTGCCTGTCTCTGTATCTTAGATCCAGCCAGCTCCCATCCTGCTGAGGGCGATGTTTTGGACCGCTCCTTTTTCATCCGTCTGAAATCCACCCTGACCAAGAGAGGGCTTCATGTGAAAACTTCCGGCTACAAGGTAAAATGACGCCCACTCCAGCCGTGGGTCTTACTTCCTCTTTATTTATTTATTAAAGATTTTCTTGATTTACAAAAGCATGTGTAATGTCTCTCTCTCGTATTTTTCCCCCCATGTAACATTTTTACAAATCAGTTTCATTTGTTGAGACATTAGGAAGAGGATCTAGGAGTCTTGGTTGACCACAAACTTGATATGAGCCAACAGTGTGACGCGACAGCTAAAAAAGCCAATGCAATTCTGGGCTGCATCAATAGGAGTATAGCATCTAGATCAAGGGAAGTAATAGTGCCACTGTATTCTGCTCTGGTCAGACCTCACCTGGAGTACTGTGTCCAGTTCTGGGCACCACAGTTCAAGAAGGACACTGACAAACTGGAACGTGTCCAGAGGAGGGCAACCAAAATGGTCAAAGGCTTGGAAACGATGCCTTATGAGGAATGGCTAAGGGAGCTGGGCATGTTTAGCTTGGAGAAGAGGAGGTTAAGGGGTGATATGATAGCCATGTTCAAATATATAAAAGGATGTCACATAGAGGAGGGAGAAAGGTTGTTTTCTGCTGCTCCAGAGAAGCGGACACGGAGCAATGGATCCAAACTACAAGAAAGAAGATTCCACCTAAACATTAGGAAGAACTTCCTGACAGTAAGAGCTGTTTGACAGTGGAATTTGCTGCCAAGGAGTGTGGTGGAGTCTCCTTCTTTGGAGGTCTTTAAGCAGAGGCTTGACAACCATATGTCAGGAGTGCTCTGATGGTGTTTCCTGCTTGGCAGGGGGTTGGACTTGATGGCCCTTGTGGTCTCTTCCAACTCTATGATTCTATGAAAAGGGGGAAAGAGAGGTCGGGGTCGGGTGGCGATGTTTCTATTTTACTTACTATATGTGGGGTTTGGTGTCAGTGTTGCTTGTGCAGGTTCTCTGCTGTTCGCTTGTGTTCCTTTGGTGGTGAGAGAGGTTGGGGTTGGCCTAGGGTGTGGTTGTTCATTTGTGGTTGTGGTGGTCTTTGTTTTCATGTGTGAGTGGGGTGGGTGGATGTTTTGGATCAGGTTAGCCATATTGATATGTATGCTGTTGGTGGATTTTTGTCGTTGTCTTGTTGGGCTGTGTATGTGATAAAGGGGAGCCGTACCGGGGTGAAGGTTTCTTCTTCTATTTGTCCCCGTGTCAGTTTCAGTTTATTGGTTAATTTTTCTAGTAGGGCTGTTTCCCATACTATTTGGTACCTTTGGTCCATGCTTACTCCTGACAGGTCTCTCCAGTGTCTGGCTATGTGGGGAGGCACTGTCGACAGCCTATCTTGTGGCGGTGGAGGGTGGGGTGGGGGGGAGTGGAAGTGCAGAATTCCCCTTTTTCCCCTCCCACAATAATATTTATTGAATTTCATACAAACACAACACGGGTTACTTCCGGGTTTCAGCGGTGGCGCATGTGCAGAAGCGCTAAATCGTGCTTTGCGCATGCGCAGAGGTGCTGAATCGCAACCCGCTGATGCGCAGACACAGGTTGCGAACGCTGTGGGTTGCGAATGTGCATCCCGCACGGATCACGTTCGCAACCCGAGTGTCCATTGTATTCATTAGTATTAATGGATTTAAGTGTATATACAATATAAAATTAAGTGTTTTTTATATTGTAATTTTATGTTGATTTTCCAAATTTTATTCCAATTATCCCAATTATTTCCAGATTAATACTTTGTTTAAATGACTTCCTATGCGTCATTCTTGATGATGATGGTGGTGGTGATGTTAATAATAATAATAATAATATGATGATGATGATGATGATGATCATGGGTAGGCAAACTAAGGCCCAGGGGCCAGATCCGGCCCAATCGCCTTCTAAATCTGGCCCGCAGACAGTTTGGGAATCAGCGTGTTTTTACATGAGTAGAATGTGTGCTTTTATTTAAAATGCATCTCTGGGTTAGTTGTGGGGCATAGGAATTCATTCATTTCCCTCCCCCAAAAATATAGTCCGGCCCCCCACAAGGTCTGAGGGACAGTGGACCGGCCCCCTGCTGAAAAAGTTTGCTGACCCCTGATGATGATGAGTTTCTCCTGTCTGTGCCCCCTCCCTCAAACCCGCTTCTCCTGCTCTCCCTCGCCCCCTGCAGGTGATCCACGTCACGGGCCGCCTCCGCCCCCGGCTGCCCTCCTTCTCCCACGCCCACTCCCTGCTGGGCCGCGTGATGGGGCTGGTGGCGCTGGCCCACACCCTGCCCCCTTCCACGCTCAGCGAGGTGCGCATCGAGTGCCACATGTTTGTCTTCCGGGTCAACATGGACTTGCAGATCGTGTACTGTGAGAGCAGGTGGGTTGCCAGAGCCCTCTGGGCTGCTTTGTGCCATTCTTGGGGAACGCGGGCATCTGTTGGCAGAAACGGCTGAAAAAGTCACAGCGCCCAAGCGAGTTGGAAATCGAAGTTACACACACAGCACTTCAAAGGATGGTGGCTTTCTGTTGTCTTTATTTCTCCTGTCCCCCTTGGTTTCTGCTATTGCCTCTGGATTTGCTGCTCCTGTCCCCCAGCTCCCCACCCATATTGTATCTGAGCCAAAGTCCACGTAATTGATCCTATATTCTCTCCCTGCCTCCTTCCCCCACCCACGTTCCTTCTGTTGTTTCCCTCTGCCTGGTTTGGATTGTAAGCTCCTTGGGGCAGGGCTCTGTCACACCTCTTTCTTGTAAGGTGCTATACGCACAGATGGCCCCGTATGAATGAATGGATCTCCTGCTCAGCCCTTCCATAATCTGCCTTCCTTTTTTGCTCTTTCTTCCCCTGACGAAGGATCAGCGATTATATGGACTTGACCCCCTCGGAGCTCGTGGGCAAAAGCTGCTACCGGTTCATTCACGGCGAGGATGTGGAGGGAATCCGGCAAAGTCACCTGGACTGTATGTTGGCTTCGTAACGGTGTTGACGGCGATAGGGTTTCTGTATTAGAGCATCCCGTGCACATTCCTGGGTTGTGCCAGAGCTTCATCTAGTCCAGGGCATTCCCTCCAAGAGCTAGAATTCCTGGCACCCTTAGCAAACTACAGATCCCAGGATTTGGGGCAGGGGAGTCCATGTACTTTAAATACAGGCAGCCTTTGGCAAGTCCACAAGTAGAAACCACCCTCTTTCCCTTTAGATTCCCCAGGGACTGTTATTCAGAGGCTTTGGCTGCTTTGGGAAACAGAGTCCTGGGCTAGACTGGCCTTTGGTCTGGTCCGCCAGGGCTCCACTTAGAATCATAGAGTTGGAAGGGACTGCATCTAACCCTCTGTAATGCAGGGATTTTTTGCCTAATGTGGGGCTCAAACCCGCAAGCCTCAGATTAAGAGTCTTGTGCTCTGTCGGCTGAGCTTTTTATGTCGTTCTAGAACATGGCTTGGGACGCAGGTGGCACTGTGGGTTAAACCACAGAGACTAGGGCTTGCCGATCAGAAGGTTGGCGGTTTGAATCCCCGTGACGGGGTGAGCTCCCGTTGCTCAGTCCCTGCTCCTGCCAGCCCAGCAGTTCGAAAGCACGTCAAAGTGTAAGTAAGATAAATAGGTACCACTCCGGCGGGAAGGTAAACGGCGTTTCCGTGCACTGCTCTGGTTCGCCAGAAGCGGCTTAGTTATGCTGGCCACATGACCCGGAAGCTGTGCGCCGGCTCCCTCGGCCAGTAAAACGAGATGAGCGCTGCAACCCCAGAGTCGGCCACAACTGGACCTAATGGTCAGGGGTCCCTTTACCTTTACTAGAACATGGCTGGGCAGTCTATGGCCCTCCTGATGTTTGCTGGGATCACTGGGATCATTGATAAAACTTTATTCTCATTAGCCAATGGCCATAGCAACAATAAAACATTACAGTATATGCAGGAAGGGAAATTTGATGTAAGAGCACAATTTAAAGTCCTGAATCAGCAGTCAGTTAGTGGCCCTCATTCTGATTGCCCCTGCTATGAACCTAGCAACCTTTGCTGTTATCTGCTCATTTTGATCTGATAGAAGAAAGGGCATTGTAGCAGTGGTTGAGCGCCCTGGGATGGTTAGTACAAGTGGGGTGATGATCTCGTTCCTCAGGTCTTTGTAGAGAGCGCAAGACAGGAGGACGTGTGCCGCTGTTTTGGTGCTACCGTCTCCACAGGGGCAAAGACGTTTCTCAGGCGGGGTCTTTTGGAATCGACCCTCAAGTGCCACAGATGGCAAAACATCCAGTCTTGCAAGTGTAAAAGCACGTCCGTATTTTGGGATAATAAGTTTGTGCAGATATGGCGGCCAGAGAATCAAAATGGAGAGGTGGAAAATGAACACACCAAGGGCAGAATTTCCTTATAGTGGCCAGGTTGTTCTGATGCTCGATATCTTTCAAACGTTGACCAATTAGACTGTTTGCTTTAGTAGGGCCCATAGTGAGTCGGTGTTGTGGGGATAGGCCACAAGAGTGAAGTTTTTGATAGACGGTTTTAAGCCAGGCACTTTTATGGGAGTCTTGAAGTACTAGGGATAGTAAACCGGGGTGGGGTGGGGTGTTGAGTTTAGGCGGAGCCAGAAGTTAAGAGTTCTTTGCCAAGTCCGTACTTCTACTGAAGGGAGACTTGTTTGCTGGACTACAGCTTCCATCGTCCCTTGCTGTTGGCCGTGCTGGCTGGGACTGATGGGTGTCAGAGTCTAGCATCACCGGGAGGGCAATGGGTCACCCCCATTACAGACCAAAGGGGTCACTGTTTCGGCCAAAGCAATCTCTATAAGCCACCCCTGGCTTCTCCTGATCCGTTTTCAGTCAAGATTCCTGCCACGTAGGGGGTTGGACTAGATGACCCTCGGGGTCCCTTCCAACTCCACACTTCTAAGATTCTTCTACCCTGGCACCTCTTCAGCTCTGCTGCCTGTGAAAAGCAGATTGTCCAAGGACCAGTTTTATGCAGTCAGCAGAATCAAGCGGTAAAGCTCTTCCTGGACTGTACTACCTTCCAACAAAGTGGGGGGGGGGGCTCTTGAATTTTTGATTGGCCCCCTCCATTTAAAAAAACACCCCTCCTTGCATTTAACAAATGTGTTGTGAAAGAGTGAAGAATTTCAGCCAAGCTCAAGGCTTGCTCTCTACCCAGCTTGCAACCTTCCCTGGTGACCTGAAGTTGTACAGTCCGGGCAAGTCTTCGCCACTGTTCCTCAGCGCTTTGGGGTAGACACAGTTAATGTTTTTCTTCTTAAAACTGTTGTTAACGGCTGTTGCCTCCCCTTCCTCCTCCTTTAGTGTTAAACAAGGGGCAGGTGGTGACCCAGTATTACCGCTGGCTGCAGAAGAACGGGGGCTTCGTGTGGGTCCAGTCCTGCGCCACCATCTCGGTCAACGTCAAGAACCCCACCGAGAAGAACATGGTCTGGGTGAACTACATCCTCAGGTGAGGCGTCCCGTCTCAATTCGTGCAAAGTTCGGAGCAAACGGGGGCATATTTTTTAAATATCTTGCCACCGCCACAGAATTCCCAACACCAGGAGTTGCCATCAGTGCATCCCAGTCAAGGTTGAGGTTCAATCCTGACACGACAGAAGTACTGTTTTTGGGGGACAGGAGACAGGCAGGTGTGGAGGACTCCCTGTTCCTGAATGGGGCAACTGTGCCCCTGAAGTTCCAGGTGCGCAGCCTGGGAGTCATTTTGGACTCGCAGCTGTCCATGGAGGCGCAGGTCAATTCTGTGTCCAGGGCAGCTGTCTCCCAGCTCCACCTGGTACACAGGCTGAGACCATCCCTGCCCGCAGACTGCCTCACCAGAGTCGTGCATGCTCTGGTTATCTCCCGCTTGGACTACTGCAATGCGTTCTACGGGGGGGCAACCTGGACATTATTTTATTTTTTAAATATTTTGCTGGAAGCTGCTCAGAGTGGCTGGGGAGACCCAGTCAGATGGGCGGCATATATATAATAAAAATATTTATTGTTATTTATTTATCTTGCTCAAGCCCCCACCATCTCCCTCCCAAAAAACAACCCCAAAGATGGCAGTGAGCATGTGTGCAAATGGTTATTCTGCAAGAACGCAGGCTATTCTTGAAGCAGGCCTCCTCCCACTGGTGTGGCAAAAGTTAGGTACTCAGAGGGGATCCTTAGGATCTCAGGAAGCTGCCTTACGCAGAGTAATCCCATTGGTCCATCAAGCTCAGTACAGAAACTGAGCGCACTAGGGAGTTTTTCAAATGGGCATTGGATGTTCAGGGTGCCTGGCTGCCTTTTTAAATCTAGATTTTTCAAAGGTTCAGTCCCCGCTCCCTGAGGTCTCAAGTGGCAAAAGTTCATCAAGCGCTTCCACCACACTCATCCCTTTGGATCCCAAGTCCTTTAAAGGTAAAGGTAAAGGGACCCCTGACCATTAGGTCCAGTCGTGGCCGACTCTGGGGTTGTGGTGCTCATCTCGCTTTACTGGCCGAGGGAGCCAGCGTACAGCTTCCGGGTCATGTGGCCAGCAGGACTAAGCTGCTTCTGGCGAACCAGAGCACGGAAACGCCATTTACCTTCCCGCCGGAGTGGTGCCAATTTATCTACTTTCAAACTGCTAGGTTGGCAGGAGCAGGGACCGAGCAATGGGAGCTCACCCCGTCGCGGGGATTCGAACCGCCGACCTTCTGATTGGCAAGCCCTAGGCTCTGTGGTTTAACCCACAGTCCCGAGTCCTTTACTGCTCCTCAAATCAAGACCACCCCCATCTCTGTTGCCCCAGGTGCAACATTTAAAATCTACTTAAGAACTACCAAATATTCTCTGCTGAAGTCTTTTTTCTCCCTCTTCCCAGCCCGCCACGCTTGCCCACCCTTCCAAACAGATAAAAGGGATCTGTGAATGGCTACTGCAGATGGTTATTAATGACTACTTTCCCCCTTTCCCTCCCGATAAAGCAAAGGGAAGCATTATTATGCTAATCCTGCAAGCAATTGCCGATGGTAATGTATGATTTGTAAGGGTGATTAGTATTTTAGTTAATTAGTGCTGTAATTAGAGGCTAATTAACTTTCTTGCAGCCTCCCTGCAAACTTGCTTGCTTCCCTCTCCGCTGCCACCGCCCCGCCAAAACCAACACCACTTTGCAAAGCGGGACGGGGCGGGATTGTTCCTTGGACAGGACAAGGGAGAAAGAAAATGCCCGGGCTGGAAGGCTCTGTGTTCGAGGAACAGCAAAGTGGTGTGTTGAGCTGGAACACACCATTTGTAAGTTGCGGGGAAGGCAGTTTGGCAGTTTCAGGGAGGGAAAGCAGCTGAACTTAGCGGGTGGCGCTGACCCCCAGATTTTGTCTCCTCAATTATATGGCGATGAAGCATCATTCGCAAAGACCCCTGGGAGCAGGGAATGGTGCCTGAGAGTAGCATTGCAGCACCAAGGTTGGCAATGGAAAAAAGTGAGCACTGGTGTCAGACATAAACTCTCTCTCACTCCCTAGAGCCCAAGCCCCAGATACGTTTGGACTGCCATATTCACTGTGCACGTCCCTCTTTATTTCGCATGCCCCTGACATCCCAAATGGGTCCTGGGGCTCCAGGGAAGAACGACGCCTGGGTTCTGAATCGCCTCCTTCCATTGCATCGGCTGCCCTGTGACGATAACTTGCTTTTGGGGGCAGGGACTCTTAACTTGAACTGGTTCCAGCTTTGCTCGCTTGACAATAAAACCCCCAACCCTGCTGTTTTTGGTATGTGTGCATGTAGGGTGGTGTTTTTTTTAAACACACACACACACCCAATCCACAAGGGAGAGTTTGTGATTTCAATCTGTCCTTGTTTGTTCTTGGACAATGAAGCGCCAATGGTCCCTCTGCTGTGGCGGCGGCTGTTCCGCTGATTCTAGCCTGCAGGTGGCTGGATGTGTCAGCTCTTATTCAAGTTGGCTTTCTTCAGTCCCCTTCTGGTTTGCAAGAGGGTGGGAGGAGGGAGTTGCGGCGCTTATTTTAATCCCTGGCCTCTCAGCGTTGCCACATGTCTGCTAAGCAGGGAGACTGGATATCTCTCTCTGTCTCGGCTTCCTTGCTGCCACCAAGCGGCCACGCTTACGAGATCCAGCTACGATCCTTCACGATGCCAAAGTCCCCAGCGCCATTTCAAAGGCCTCCTCTTGAGGGAGGGATGGTGCAGAGCAGGGCCCCAGAGGTGGAAATGGTAGGGAATGTGTACAGGAGAGAGAATTACCGTATTTTTTGCACCATAACACTCACTTTTTTCCTCCTAGAAAGTAAGGGGAAATGTCTGTGCGTGTTATGGAGCAAATGCCTACGGATGACGGGGGGGATCTGCTGCAGTCGTGAGCAGAGGATCCATGGTTACAGCCTGCACCAAAAAAATCACGCACCCACTGTTGCCTGGGGCCACAATGGTGCAAAAACATGGTTACAAAGCATGGATCCACACGGATCCTCAGGATTTTTGCATTAGGCTACCCCAAACTCACCGTCAGATCACATGTCTGTGGCCGCAGCATGAACCACAAAAATCATACATCCACTATTTTGTTTAGAATATTTTTTTTCTTGTTTTCCTCCTCTAAAAACTATGTGCATGTTATGGTCGGGTGCGTGTTATAGAGCAAAAAATACGGTACATTTCCTTTGCATCCTGGCACAAATTCTGCTGCCTTCTGTATCCCGGCCACCACTGGAGGTGTCCCACTCTGAAGTTCTTTATACTGCCTTCCGGCGATCCTCCAAGCTGTTGTGGGCAGAACGGAAAAACGGACCCTTCTTTGAGGCATCTCCTGGGCCCGGCCTTTGGCTTAACCCCGGCAAAACATCCGAAACCCCAGCATCACCTCTGAACCTCGCAAAGTGCCTTCTAGGGGAACGAGCCTCCCTTGGCAAGACAAAGATATATCTTGAAGCTTTGGAACGATCCCCACATGTGCATTTCTTTAATCTTCTCCTTCCCTTTTTTCTCTTGTTTCACTTTTAACCCTTTCCAGCAAGCCGGAGTGTAAGAACACCGTGCTGGACATATTCCAGCTGCCTGGGATCCCTGCAAGACAGACGGAGGCCGTTGAGGTGGGGCCAGAATTCAAAGGTGAATAAAATGAAGCCTTGGACAGGGAGGGGAGGTTAGTTTGCCAAGCAGACGAGCTCCGTGCATTGCTAGCGGAAGAGATTTTGGCAAACAGGTGTGGGCTGTCTCTTTCAGCAGAGCTCTTAGGTTCTTGCCTGCTAATAAAACATAGCAAACCTACTATTTCCCCTTTAAAAATCAAAGGGCCCCTTTTGCTATTTGTTGTTGTTGTTGTTTAGTCGTTTAGTCGTGTCCGACTCTTCGTGACCCTATGGACCAGAGCACGCCAGGCACTCCTGTCTTCCACTGCCTCCCGCTATTTACCAGTGTGCTTTTGCTATTTACCAGTGTGCTTTTTTAAAAGAGAGTCCTGGTGTAGGCGCTGCCTTCGCTCTTCTCAGCCCCTTGGTGAACTGCTGCAGGCAGGTGGTGTTTTGTTTCTCTGGCCCCAATTCAAGGTGCTGTTTTAAGCTTTCAGGGGCTTGGGACCCTGGGGGGACGGAAGGATTGCCTCCTTCTATGGTGTTTCTGCCCTGCATGCTCCAGTCATCTTCTCACACCAGACAGCCCTCAGCCCCATGAAGCACAGTGGGCACTACCTTTAAAACCCTAAACGGCCTCAATCCAGTATACCTGAAGGAGCGTTTCCCCTCCATTGTTATGCCCGGACACTGAGGTCCAGCGCCAAGGGCCTTCTGGCGGTTCCCTTGTTGCGAGAAGCCAAGTTACAGGGAACCAGGCAGAGGGCCTTCTCGGTGGTGGCACCTGCCCTGTGGAACGCCCTCCCACCAGATGTCAAAGAGGAAAACAACTACCTGGCTTTTAGAAGACATCTGAAGGCAGCCCTGTTTAGGGAAGCTTTTAATGTTTAATAGGTTATTATATTTTAATATTCTGTTGGAAGCCTTCCAGAGTGACTGGGGAAACCCAGCCAGATGGGCGGGGTATAAATAATATATTATTATTATTATTATTATTATTATTATTATTATACCGTTATGGTCCTGACCTTGTGGCACACGCCCTGCCAGTTGGGGTGCCTCAGGTCCTGTTTGTTGGCCATGGTGCTGAGCCATCAGAAGTCTGCACTCTGCCCAATCATTCTCCCTCTGTGCTCCTTGCCTGGCCTAAGGAGCAGCAACAAATCGCTAGTCTTGGCTTATTAGAGCCTTTCCCAGCCGGGCTCCTTTTAGAGGTTTCGCACTGCAACGCCCATCATCCCTAATGCTGGCTGGAGCTGATGGAAGTTTGCTAGTTCGTTTATTAAATTTGCATGCCGCCTTTCATCCGAAGATCCCAGGGCGGTTCACAACTTAAAAAAACAAAATGAAGACATTAAATACATAATAAACAAGTTGCAACCCCAACCAGGATTCATGTTGGGGGCGGCTGCCCTACTGCAGTAACTGAACTAGTCCTCATGGTTTGTTTTCTCCTAAACAAATCATGGAGCCAGAAGTCACGGTTTGTTGAAGCTGCTGTTCAAGACAGGAGCGAGGGACCTCAGGTTGGTCCTTCGGGTCTCGCTGCAGGTCATGATCTTACTGCCCTGCTATGTGCCCTTCTCAGTGCAAAGGCCGAATGTGGATGGAACAAAGCTCCTCACTTGCCTTGTGCGTTGGTGTCAAGTGTGTCCCAACCCCTTCCTTTTTTGCTGCTGGGCAAAAGGTTTTGCTCTGCATGGATTCTGCTTCTCATCACTTTTGCCTCTGGCCCTCCCCACTGCTGGTATGTGGCCCCTGGAAAGTGGCCCTTGAGGGTACAGTGGTACCTCGGGTTAAGTACTTAATTCGTTCCGGAGGTCCGTACTTAACCTGAAACTGTTCTTAACCTGAAGCACCACTTTAGCTAATGGGGCCTCCTGCTGCTGCTGCGCCACCGGAGCACGATTTCTGTTCTCATCCTGAAGCAAAGTTCTTAACCCGAGGTAATATTTCTGGGTTAGCAGAGTGTGTAACCTGAAGCGTATGTAACCCGAGGTACCAATGTATTATTATTATTATTATTATTATTATTATTATTATTATTATTATTATTCCACACTTCATCTGTAGGTCTCAAGGGGGTTTACAGCTTAAAAACAAAATGCATAATAAAAACAAGAACAAAATAAACCAATAACCCCCCACAAACATATTTAAAAGGGTTTAGGATCTTAAGACAGCCCAAGGCATGGCTCAGTGCGACCTTCAAGCTGAAAAAGATTCTCCACCCTGCTGCTTGGTGGCTCACCACGTCACCCAGATGTGGGCAGTGCACTGTTATAAGTGGCCAGTGAAAACGTGGCTGTTTAGACTCTCTGCTGATTCACCTTTAACGTCCCAGTTTCAGAGGATGTTTTGTATATTGTTGTGGGGGCTTGGCCTTAAGATTTTTGATGGGGATTGCTGCATTTCTTGTTATTATTATTATTATTAGCCACCTTTAGTTCCTTTGAAAATACACGAAGGGATAAATGAAATTACGGGGAGGATGTGCAACCTTATTGAGTAGGTTTTCCCCCTCTCCAAGGCGGAAATTCTGCCATGCTGGCTTTTGAGTTCCTGCTGTGACCAAATCCACTTCAAGGCTTTCCGGAGTAGCTTTGCCCTGTGGTGGTGATTATTAGCTGCGCTGCTGGCAGGAAGCTGCTCTGAAGCGAGGTCTAAACTCTCCCCCAGGTCTTCTGCGGATAGAAATTTTGCTTGGCAAAATAAATCTGCCCAACTCCTGGCCGTGGGAAGATGCTTAGCTCCCTGCTGCCTCGCTAAGTTGATTTTTTCCCCTCCTGTCTCCCCACCTGATTTCCCTTTCAGAGAGCAGCCTTGCCAAAGAGAGCAGCCAAGGAAGGAAGCTTTACTCCCCCAGCAAACCTGGCTCCCTAGCCGAGGGCTACCCCCGGAGCGCAGCGGAGGCCGGTGCCCGATGCCGCCTGGCAGAGACCGATTCCAGCGGCCCGGAAACGAGCTACCGGGAGGAGGAGCTGTCAGACGGAGGCGCCGGGAGCGACACCGAGGGACCGCCCAGCAAGCGCATCAAGCTGGAATTCCCGCCAGAGAGCCCCTCGCGGGAGGCAAAGGAAGCCAGCTCCGAGGAGTCGGACAGCGGCAGCGAATCGGAGCTGGGCCTCCTCCCACAGCAGAGGGCGCCCCTGGCGAGGAAAGCCAACGGCTGCAAGGCCGGGGGGCGGAGGAGCGCAGGGCCCGGCCGCCCGGAGTTTGCCTCCGTCATCCAGACTCAGAAGAGCTCCGTTCTGAAAGCCGCCCCAGCACTTAGCATTAAATCTGAGCAGCCCCCCGGAGCCAAGGGAGCCCCCTGGACCTGTCCTGCCGCCCACAAGGGCAGCCCTTACACTGTGAACAAAGCACTTAGCTTAGAGAAGCCCTCTCTGCGGCCGGCCTCTTCTCACCTGTACGTCTCCATCCCAGACTCTGTGCTCACCCCGCCCGAGATGGAGAGCGGCGCCCCCAAAGGGCCTTTCGGCACCTCTCCCCGGACCGTCCCGGCAGCCTCCTCTTCGGCGGACACTCTCTCGCCCCCGCTCTCAGGCTCCCCGTGCGAGGAGAGGGCCACGTCCACGCCCTTCACGCCGCTCCTCTACCCCGCCGACATGGAGGTGCTGCAGCGGTTCCACGCGGGCAACGTGGTTGTGCCGCTGGTGCACCAGCTGGGCGGCCCGCATGCCGGCACATCCGGCTCGCAGGGCCTTTACGCCACCAGCACCATCCGGTACGCCCCTGCCGACATGACGCTCGGCATGCAAAGCAACGTGCTGCCGCCCTCCCACCCCATCAACCTCATGGACATCGGCGGCGCCGAGGCCAAGACGCCCCGGGAACTTATGTACCACCACCTGCAGCGGTTGAACATGGTTGCGCCCTTTGGGAACTCGGCCGGCTTGGCCCAGATTTCAGGGGGAGCCTTTGCCGCGACGGACTCCTTGTTTTCCACGCTGCCCTTCTCGATGGCTGGCAGCGGGGTCCACGGTGCCTCGGCTTTGGAACGCAAGGAGGACTGAGTCCATGGCCAAACTCTGTACCATCCATAAAAGGTCCTGTGTGCCCCTTTTAGAGGAAAGCTCAGCGCCAACTTCCCTGCCGCCGGGGGAAGAAATCTTTGTTCTCTAACCAATCCCTGCGTGTCTCATCTTTTCATAGCACCCCTTTCTAAACCTCTGGCAAATTAGTAGCGTGACCATCTCCTCAGCAGTCTTGTGTTCCACTCTTGCTCCTTGCCTGGCCCCCCAGATGCTGCTGTGTGAAACTGCTGTTCTGGTTGCGGAACGAATTCAGGAGTTAGCCCAGTGCAAATGCGGAGTTCGGGAGTTTAACCCAGGGCAAAGTCGGTGCAACTTTCCTGGGAAAGATGAAAGAGGTATCCTACATTCGTTCTGGTCTGTCTTCCTGCTGCTACAAGTTGACTTCCTTCCTCCACCATGTTTGCTGGGGACTTTGGGGTGGGCTTTTTTTGTATGTATGGGGGTTATAATTAGGCCCTGCAGGTTTTTCTGTTGAGAGGACCATCTGCCTGCTAGCCAAGGCGAGTGTAACTCGAAGAAACCTGCACATGAAGAGCAGGGTGCCACCACCCCTGACTCAATCCCCCAATGTGATTACATCAGTGTTACCACTTTTGCTTCTGTTCTGTCCACACTGCACTATCCCTTACAGCACAGCAATTGCTCAAAAGTCTGGCTCCGAATTATAAATAAGAAATCCAGGTGTGGCAAGTATATCTGAGTGAATCAACCCTTTGGGCACTCCCCTTATCTCATATAGCCTCACCTTCCTCACGCTTCCCCCTTCTGCAAATAATGGATTAATAGCTTATATGTTTTCTGTGTGCTCAGATCAAAGGGGAAAGAGATTACTAAAGCTGTCTTAACTGCCCTGTTGCCAAGGGTTCTGCCACTAGCTTAACAGTCTTAAGTGAAATGTGGGTGCCAAAAGGTGACGGCTAATTTCCCAGTGGTTACAACTTCTGAAAGTGAAGGAAGATGCAGTGTGGATGAACCAATAATTGAGCATGGACAGTTCTAAACAGCTAACAGGGTGTTGATTCTGCTCTTCTAATTACCAGGTGTTAAGACTTCTCATCCGCCCATTTGTCTACCAGTGGCTGTTGTAGCAAAATGGAAATTCTGTGTGCAGAGGCAGTCTACCAGAGTGACAGATTTGGGGTGGGGTAGATTGGGAGAACCATCACCACCACGCCGTTCCTAGAAGGTTCTGCCTGGCCACTGTTGGGAGATGGGGGAAATGGTGGACAAGATGCACCTCTTTGATGGTCCAATCCTGCAAGGTTGCTTGTTCCTCTCATCACTGTGCAAACACAGCTGTTGCTTTGATCCTGTACTCAGTAGAAAAAAGCTTCCACCACTGAGACCCCTTGGGACATGAAAAGGACCTTTTCCATCCAGAGCCCAAAATGCAAGCCAGAAAAGGGATGGAAACAGGTAGGTCGTCATCGTATGTGATGACAGCACTTAAAAAGGTTAAAAAAAATGTTACGCCATAACTTTTAGCACTTATTCAGAATAAAGACTACTTGTACAGTTTGGTGGGAAAGGGTGGGTGGGGGGAAACCCACAGCGAGACAGTAGCACTTGGATGATGTGGTATTTTTCTGTGTAACTCATCGCTAAAGATCTGTGTGTATGTGCGCGTTTTTTTCTTTTATTAACCTACGGTTCTCGTTGGATAGATGAATGTAGTTTCCACTGTTCACTTGTTCTTGACATTTTGCTGCTTCTTTTGGCGATCTGGGGTTTCAGAGAAAATGAAAATAAATGGGACTCTGTTCCTGCCTAAAAAGATTTCAGTAGGCGCAACCATTTTTCCTGGCAGGCTTAAGAGCAGTAAGATCCTGTCGTTAAAATGCCTGTGTGTGTATCCTCATTTTGAGTTACTTAACGAAAGGATCCCCCCCCCCCCCACACACACACCAAAGAGAAATACTAACATATTTGAAAGTACTTGGAATAACAATGTGATGATTTTTTAGGGCACACACCAGCCTGAACACACATGATTCCTCTGCAGTCTGGTCTCCCCTGAAATGTTGGTTTGTTATTTGGATCAAAAATTCCAAAGTATGTTTTCTCAAATTTGCTAGTGACAGGATAGTTCAGTCGGTAGAGCACGAGACTCTTAATCTCAGGGTTGTATGTTCGAGCCCCACCTTAGGCAAAAAGATTCCTGCATTGCAGGGAGGGTTGGACTAGATGACTCTCGTGATCCCTTCCAATTTTACAGTTCTGTGATTCTGCGATAAAAGCAGAAGTGGTTGCCAAGTGCCATCAAGGACAGGTGTGAAATTCAAAGCAGCCTTGGCAAATTGTGAGCAATTACCTGAAACGAAAGGAAATTCGGCGCTGCTAAAGCACAAGGAAGGGTCTCAATACCGTCGAGAAAAGTGACTGCCTTCCTCGTTGCCAGCTCAAACATTCAAATAGGACAAGAGCTACTGGGCACAGGGTCATGTAAGTGTATAAGGTGAAACGTGACAGAGCTGGATAGGTAAGAAATTTTCCTCCCACATAATACTAGGAGTTGGGGCCATCTGGTGAAGTTGAATGTTGGAAGATTCAAGAAAGGACTTATTCACACAGCACATAAACTGTGAAAGCAGTTCCACCCAGAGGTAGTGACAGCCACCTACTTGGATGGCTTTAAAAGAGACTTTTTAGCAATTCACGGAGGACTCTGTTGTTGGAGGCAGGGCGCTTCTGAGTTGCTGGGACACACAAATGGGGGAAGTGCCGTTGTGCTCAGGTCTGCTTCATTTTCCACAGGCATCTGGTTGTCCCCAGGGAGAGCAGGCTGTAGGCTAGATGGGCCTTTGGCTTGATCCAACATGGTTTTTCTTATGTACCCAGAGGGGGAATGAAGTCAAATCACAGCCCTTCCCATCTACGTCAGCTGCATGCTGTGCATCCACGTCTGGAGGGAAGAGCTCTCATCTTCCCTATTATAAGTGCATGACAAAGCCCCTGCCCGTAGGAGCAACACAGCTCAAATGAGGCTCAACAGGGGAAGGCCTGCAAACACACAGACAGCTCTACCCAGAGCTGCCTCTTGGGTTTGTGGGTGCCCTATTGGCACTTCTGGTAGAAACATTGCTGGGAGCAGTGTTCCAAGCGAGGCTTGGGGGTAGTTCTAGCTTCTCTCAGTGCTCCAGAATGCTCAATGTAGTGCCTCTCCAGGACATGCTGGGAAATGTTAACTGGTGGCTTGTAGACGCAGCTGCCAGGCATTGTGGGGCGAGGGGGAGTGGCTAGGGCAGGCATTCGTGGTGGTGGTGGGCCCTGGCAGCTTCACTGGAGTAGCGAGCTACAATGTGAAGAGTAGGATTGTGCCAACCTTTATAGCAGGGATGCAAGGGGGACTTCTGGGTTCCATGCCTCGAGGGTCCCACCTTATCTCAAGAACCACCCTCACACCTTGATGTGGAAAGTGTGGGAAGCTATGAAGGGAGAAGATGGCCTTAGGTGCCAGCTGGCAGAATCGATGAAATCGCTTTTGTCCGTACCCTGTTTTCCCGAAAATAAGACAGTGTCTTATATTAATTTTTGCTCCCAAAGGTGCGCTAGGTCTTATTTTCAGGGGATGTCTTATTTTTCCATACGGTACACATTTATTGTCTAATTGTGAGTCAGCCAGACCCCATCAGGGCAGAGCGAGCAGCAGCAGGTGGCAGCCTGTCCTGGCGGCGGCGCAGGCTCTCTGATTTAAAGAGACCTCGCACTACCTGAACAGCTCTGGCTGTGCTGCAGCCAATCAGTGAGCTGCATGGAGGCACCCGCTGCTACGGTCCAGAGGAGTCAGACACCTTACGGTAGCTTTGGTGCCTTATATTCCGGGGAGGCCTTATGTTCAGGGGAGGCCTTATTATCGGGGAGGTCTTATTTTGGCAGGGATGCCTTGTATTACAGCAAGAGGCAAAACTGGAAGTAGGTCTTATTTTCAGGGGATGTCTTACTTTCGGGAAAACAGGGTAGAAGTTAGTCTGCCCAGCTAAAACCAAGAGTTGCGTGCCCGGCTGCTATCAGAGGAAAGAGCGTGAGCAGTTTTTTGTCACCAGGTTTAGAAAAAAAAAGTAGGAGATTTGGTTTTGGTGTCTTTAATACAAATGTCAACTGATTTGGACAGGTGGAGCAAAGAAGGCATGGGCCAGTGGCAGAAAAGATACACCTGATATGTGAGGAGGAGGAGGATTGGGGAGCATAAGCAACACTGGGAAAGCAGGGCCAGGCTTTACAGAAGATGCCAAGAGAGCAGGGCATTTCTTACAATATCTTTAGCCGATAAATATCAGCTAGTATATCAATTAACTGGTTGAAGCGGGGGGCAGAGCAGAGCAAGACCAACTTCAACAGAATGCTTACGTGCCAGAGATCCCAGTTCAGCAAGAGTGCGTGCTGCTGGCTCAGCAGAGTGTCCTCTGAACAATTCCCTTCTTTGTCGTTGCCGGTGACCTGATTTTTGCTACTGTCACTTTCCCAGAGCCCATCTGGAAAACCTGAAATAAATACAAAGCAGCCAACACATCCGCTTGTCTCTTGTTTGCAAGGAAGCCGCCTCTCCTTGCCCTTCAGCCCAAAAGGCAGAAGGATTCAAACATGCCGGGTGGGGTGGCCTTAAAAGCTGCAGTCCACAGAATACAATTGCGTGTCTGCACAAGCCAACTGGGCCGTCACTTATCCGACTTCCCGTCCTCCTTTTTCTTGTCCTGACACTTGTCGTTGGGGTCGTCCTGGATGATCTCCACCTCCAAGCGCCCAATGTAGAGGGAGATGGCGCACAGCCAGAACAGTGCCACAGTGGTGACTGCAGCACAGTTCAGGAGAGCCGTGGAAAAGGACAGCATCATGGTGCGACGGAGGAGGAAGAGGCTGACGAGGTAGGAGGCGCTGCCGTACGAGACGCAGATTCCACCCAGGATGAAGAAACCTGCAAGGAGATACAAAAGTCAGCATTGGGCAGTACTAAGCAGTGAATATGCCTGTCTATACAACTCAACAGCCTTCTACTAAAACGAAAAAAAACCCCTATGCGTGTCTGGATGGGCTTATACTGGAGGGGAGAAATCCCTTATTAATTCTTATGTACAGTGGTACCTCGGGTTAAGAACTTAGTTCGTTCAGGAGGTCCATTCTTAACCTGAAACTCTTCTTAACCTGAGGTACCACTTTAGCTAATGGGGCCTCCTGCTGCCGCCGCGCCATTTCTGTTCTCATCCTGAGGTAAAGGTCTTAACCCGAGGTACTGTTAGCGGAGTCTGTAACCTGAAGCGTCTGTAACCTGAGGTTACCACTGTATTCTTTATACATTCAGACCTTCAAGCTGACATTAAAAAGTAACATGAAATTTTATTAGACCAACTAAGTTTGAGCTAGGAGCACACATGCCTTCAAGACAAGACAAGCTCTTCATGGGCTGAAAAAACAAACCACTGATGAAAAGTTCGACATGGCTCTAAAGCCTGCATAGGTCCCTGTTAATCTTGCCTACCTCCTGTCTCTAAATTAATATGGTTACCGATCTCTACTGAGTTTCCGTATTCACCTGAAGTGGCATAGGCTCAGAAAATTAAGTATTTAATCTGTTCCTCCAAACCTGGAGGTTATTTGATACACAAAGAGACCCACTCCAAGTCTCCTGCTGTAGTGGTGGAGGGCAAGATCCCACTGGGACACGGAACATGGTGTGAAAAGCCTGGGGAGGTGAGAGGGATTCAGTTGGAATGTTTGACATGCACACTGTCTTGCAGAGGTAATATCCTATTTCCAGCATGATGAACCCAAAAAACAAAACATGCCTACTCCACTGGTTCCTCAAAGATAAAAGCTTGCCCAGAATTAGTCCGCGCCACCACCCCTTCATACCTATTGTCATTTCTCAAAACCATAAATGCCGTTTATAAACTGGGAACACCAACGCAACTAATTGTAGCTCAGTTTCAAGTATGAGGATCCACTGCCCTACTGTGGTATAAATGAGAAACACTGTTTTGGAACCAGTTGACAGATTTAAGAGTCAGCAGTGACTAAATCTTTTTCAGGCAGCCCTCAATATCCCAACAATATTGACTTTGCTGTGTAACTGCTACTCTCTCTCCCACCCCACTACACATATATATAGTGTCTGTGAAAGAGTGGGATCTTTACCAAAGCTGGTGCAATTCAAGAGGATGCTAGACCTAAAACTGGTTTTCTACTTGCGCGCCTAGCTTCTGCATTGCATATGGAGGAGGGTACATTAAAACAAACTTGTCCATAGTTTCAGATTGCCCCCTTCACTGTGCTGGACACATGACAGTCTGAGACTACTCTTCTTGCCTTCTCACAGAGTCCATCCAGCAACCTCCCTCTCCTGACTGCACGGAGGTGAAAGAGGTGAGGATACTGTAAAGAAACCCAGTATCTGGAGAAATTAACAAAATGCAGCTTATCCGCAGAACTATGGCTTGTTTTTAGGAAAAGCTATTTGCATTTGGAAGATGGCTGAATTATGCAAGCTCATAGGTCACTGCAATCTGCATAATTATCAGCGTGCTGAATTTCCTTTAAAAGGGGGAAGGAGGGGCGAGAGAGGGAGAACCACTTTAAGGGGCCAAGTGTATGTTCTGGTGCCCTAGCCTCTGGGGAAAGGAACAAGTGCTACTCTTTGCAGCATCAGCCTTAAGTGCTGGCCTGACTGCAAGTGCTGGTGTGCTGGGGGGGGGGGCAAGTAAATGGAGAAAGAATTGAGATATTGTTACCCTGTTGGGTAGGTGGACATACAAAAATGGAGCAAAGAGGACAGAGAAGCACCTGGCACAGCCTGGTGCTTAGGGAGCAGAAGGCCAGGGGGCCAGCATCTCACAAAGGACTTCTGCTGGGCCCCTGTAATGTAGATTTCTTATAAGCAAGCAAGAATGCCATTCAGAGTAGGGAAACTTGTGACCTCCAGATGTTGTTGGGCTCCAGCCCTCATCAGCTAGTGTGGTGACTGGGAGTGGCCACTGGGACCACATAACACCGGTCCTGAGAGATCTGCATTGGCTCCCAGTACATTTCCGAGCACAATTCAAAGTGTTGGTGCTGACCTTTAAAGCCCTAAACGGCCTCGGCCCAGTATACCTGAAGGAGCATCTCAACCCCCATCGTTCAGCCCTGGACACTGAGATCCAGCGCAGAGGGCCTTCTGGCATTTCTCAGATTACGAGAAGTGAGGTTACAGGGAACCAGACAGAGGGCCTTCTTGGTAGTGGCGCCTGCCCTGTGGAACGCCCTCCCATCAGATGTCAAGGAAATAAGCAGCTATCTTATCTTTAAAAGACATCTGGAGGCAGCTCTGTTTAGGGAAGTTTTTAATATTTAACACTCAATTGGGAGCCGCCCAGAGTGGCTGGGGAAACTCAGCCAGATGGGCGGGGTATAAATAATAAATTATCATCATCATCATCATCATCATCAATGGTCAACTGTTATAGTCGTAGTCCAGGAAGCAACGTTGGAAGGGCGACAGGTTCCCCAGTCCTGATGCAGTCAAACCCTGCCTCCTCTTGTCTCCTTCCCTGCTTTTTTTCACAGACTTCAGGGCACATCAATTTCGACTTTCCGTTTTATTCAGGCTTAAAGAGTTCAAGCCGCCCATTTCAAAGAACAAACCCTCTGCTTCTGCTACCTTCCTCTCTGCACACCTGCTACCCCTTCCTGGGCATTCCATGTGGGCAAAGGGAATACACCTGCAACTCAGTGGATCCTCAGCCTCTAACTGCCGCTGCTGGCCTTGAGCTTTTAAAGTCGGCTACTTCTCCCCACCCATCTTTTTCCTAGGGAGAAGCAAACTGTCCAAGGTCGCTGAAACAGTCCCTGTCTGACTTTCAAGGCTGTAGAATCGTTTGCTCTTCTGAGTGCCGTTTACAGAAGATGACATCACAAGAGCTATTAGTGTCTGAAATGTCAATTGAAACTTATTAAGGTTCCTCTTGTCTTTTGACTCACTTATTCAGAGAAGCTCTTTCTCTGGCTCTAACCATCAATTAGTTCTTCCAAATGTTGAAAGAATGACTGCCCCAGTCGTAGACAGTACAGTGTCTACAGACAAATGTTGCACAAGGTGCATCTCAAGTAGTCGTTTGCTACACGGCAACAGCCCTAGAAGAACAGCCTGCTCTTTTCCGGTTTGCAAAGTCTTCTCAATCCAGTCACTTTTAAAGCCATTTTGACTCCCCACCTGCAGCAGGGCAAATAAACAGGTCTGTTTTGCAAACGGGCAAAACAGGCTGTGATGCTAGTGTCCACTTCCTGAGCTCCAGAGTTACAGCTGCGGTGTGTCGACATTGGCGATATACCGCGATGTTGAAAAAAGCTGTGTTGGCCCCAGCCAGCGAGATGCCAGGTGAAACTGCTGCAGCTCTCGTCGTGGGAGCTGAGGTGCTTTCACCCAGTGCCTCGGGGACTGCGGCGGGTGGGGGGGCTCTGTAAAATTGCTTGACAGCAGCACGCTCCTCAGCCATGCAGTTTAAAGAAGCGGAGGAAGGAACAAGCTGAAACGGCACCCCACTGATTCAGCTTGATTCTCCCTATGTCGGGGCAGAGTGCGATGGTGGTTTCACCAGCGGTATATTGCTGGTGAAACTGCCACAGCTTCTGCCTCTAGCTCCCAGCTACTTTGTTTCTCCCTCAGCACGCTGGGGGCAAAGGGACTCGAGAGCAGTGATAGTTTCACCAGGAATATACCGCTGAGTGAAGCTATCATTGCGGCCTGCCCCCATATACTGGTCCTGGGCAATACAGTGGTACCTCGGGTTACATACGCTTCAGGTTACAGACTCCGCTAACCCAGAAATAGTACCTCGGGTTAAGAACCTTGCTTCAGGATGAAAACAGAAATCGTGCTCCGGCAGCGAGGCAGCAGCAGCAGGAGGCCCCATTAGCTAAAGTGGTGCTTCAGGTTAAGAACAGTATCAGGTTAAGAACAGACCTCCAAAACGAATTAAGTTCTTAACCCGAGGTACCTCTGTATATCAATATATCACCCAGGCCTACTCTCCTGCTACGTGTGCAAACTATACCGCTTGTGGTTGCATCCTTTCTCTGAAGAGCAGAGGGGCAGAAGACCAGAGGCTAGGTACCTTCTATTTCATCAGCTATATTGGAAGACCTTGACCAAGTCTCAGAAAATGACCCATGGGGATCCACCCTTAGTGTTAATTATCCTTACCACGGCCCTGAAAGGCAGGCCTGTAATTTATTCTCATATTACCAGTGATCAGTGTTAGAAACTCAGATATATAATCTAATAGCCAAATGGCACTTTAAACCTGGGCTGCGGTCACCATAATGGAATATCGAGGTTATGTCTCTCCCCCCCCCTCCATGGTATAATGATATTATTCTTATACTGCTTTATATTTTAAAGAACAAATCTCCAAGCAGTTTACAACACATTAAAACATCAAATAAAACAATGCAGAATAAAATGAATTCAAGCTACAAGGGAAATATTTCAGATCCTTCTCTCGGTGACATTTTGCTTTCCTCAGTGGCCAACTTGGCACCCACAAATCGCCACGTGGTCCCAAATGGGCCCACGCTAGTCATAAAATGTGCCTGGCTAATTTCGAACACTGCTAATGATGTTTAAAAATTGAATTGAATTGGAAAAGTGTCCTGTGCAAATTGGGGAAATTTTCCGATACCCTTGACTGGAGAGTGATGTAATTTAGCATATATCACCTGTATTTAGTAAACAAGGCTAAAAGCGTTCAAACCGTCAAGATTGCCTAATACTGTGGTTACAGTGGGCATCCGTTTGTTGTTACTAACCATCCTATGAATCAACATTTTTTCTGCTCCACATCACTGCACACTGCAGATGAGGCAATTGTATGGCCTGTATGAACCCACGATGCAAGTTTCTGATCCAAAGGATAAATGAATCAGAGCCATGTAAGCTGACTTTGTGGCTTCTCACTTCTCCCTAAGGAAAGGGTGTTGGCCTGTTGACACAGGTAACCCCTTCTATGATAGTTATCCTCTTAGAAGAATGATGCCAACAACATTTTGATGGAATGATTCCTTTATCCATGGCAGCAAACTAAGATCTGCCAATATCCTGTCACTCCACCCTGAGTATCGACTTGCTTGTTACCTACCATAAGCTGCTTCGCGCCCCATGTCACTCTGAACGTAAGAAATCACTCCAACACCAGTAGCCAGCAAGCCATTCCGAAACCAGGAGAGGAACCCTGGTGAGAAAGGAGGAAGGGAATAAGAACCGTCTCTCCTGTGTTTAAGCAGACATGGTTTCTATCAGATTAAATCAATACATATTAAGAATGCTAATAGTACACCCCACACATATCTACTCAGAATTAAGCCCCACTGAGACATACTCTAAGGTAAGCCTGTAAAATATGATAGTCCAGTGCTACTGTTAATAAACATAACTGTCACATTACTTTACAGAACTGGTTGTTACAAGGATTAACTAAGAATATACAGTGGTACCTTGGTTCCCAAACTCAATCTGTTCTGGAAGTCCATTCGACTTCCAAAACGTTCGCAAACCAAGGTGCGGCTTCTGATTGGCCCGGAAACAATGCCGACAGCTGAAACGGACGTTCGGCTTCCAAAAAACGTTTCGCAAACCGGAACACATACTTCCGGGTTTGTGGCATTTGGGAGCCAAGCCGTTCAGGAACCAAGGTACCACTGTATTCATGAAGCGTTCTGAACATCCAAAAACAGATATAAACGTGCTGCTGTTGTTTCAGTTCTGAATATCTTTAAATGTTCTTAGCTGTTAACGCTTTAGTTGGTTTTTATGTTATTCTTCGTGATATTGTTTGTAAGGATGACTTGAGACCATTGTGCCCCAGCTTGCCTGGCTCCTCCCTCTCTGCCCACTGAGAGGGAAAAGGGAGGGAGGAGCAGGCAGTTCGGTGGGCAATTGGAGGCCCAACTGCAAGCAACTGTGGGAGCAAGGTGGGTTGAAAGGCAGTGGAAACAGCCATGGTGATTTAATAAGCATTCATGTTTCATAGGAAGGATTTGTTTGTTCCTATTCCATATATGCCACCCCTTGATTCCAACAATGCCAGGGTGGTTTACAACAAAAGAAAAGTGGGGAAGAGAGAAGAGCCCAATGAGCTGCCAAACACCGAGCAGTAGTCCAGTTTCGGTGTTTCCTCTACAACAGCAACCATCACCACTCAAGAATCATATTGAACATTATTCTCTTGGAGTGAATTGGTTATATTATAGAATTTTTATTGGTATGTTAGAATTCTACTGAAACCACTCTGAAAGGTCTGGCTGAAAAGTGGCATATAAACATCTTAAATACATGAAAGAATGCAAGATTAAAGGTAAAGGTACCCCTGACCATTAGGTCCAGTCGTGGCCGACTCTGGGGTTGCGGCGCTCATCTCGCTTTACTGGCCGAGGGAGCCGGCGTACAGCTTCCGGGTCATGTGGCCAGCATGACTAAGCCACTTCTGGCGAAGCAGAGCAGCACACGGAAACGCCGTTTACCTTCCCGCCAGAGCAGTACCTATTTATCTACTTGCACTTCAACGTGCTTTCAAACTGCTAGGTTGGCAGGAGCAGGGACCAAGCAACGGGAGCTCACCCCGTCACGGGGATTCGAACCGCCGACCTTCTGATTGGCAAGTCCTAGGCTCTGTGGTTTAACCCACAGCACCACCCAGGTCCCAGCATCAACAAAATCTGAAGCAGTAGCTAGAAACAGCATAATGATAAAAGTACTTAAAGACCCTGAACAATACTGTAATGAAGTCTTAGCTAGGGGGCAGGCAAAGAAACAAACCACAGGTGCCAGTGGAAGGCCCCAGGTTCAGTCCTGACACCTACAGTTAAAAGGGTGAAGAAGCAGATGGTGCAGAGATCCCTTCGTGAGAAGGTTCCATTCAAGAAAACTGACCATTCATAGCTAGAACAGCCAATGGTCTAATCCAGGAAAAGGCACTTCCTATAAACTGAAATGGTAAGGGTTGGTGGGAGTTACAGTCCTGCAATCTCTGAAAGACCACAGGTTCTGCATCCCTGTTCTAAATCATATTCCACATAAGAGGATCTTTAATATTTAGTTAAAATCAACAGGCAACGCTTCAATTGACTGTTTTGCCTAGTACTGTACATAAAATCAGTCACGAGCTCTGCTGATATAAAGCTAGCTATGTTTCTCTTCACAAATGATGTCTGACTAAAGAAGATAATGCAGACCTCCAGATGTTCCAACTACAACTCCCATCAGGCGCTGACCACTGTCCATGCTGGCTGTGGACCAACATTTGAAGGGCCACAGGTACCCCACACCTGGCACAAGACAGACTGAGGTAACAACAAAGCTTAATGTTTTCAAAAGTGGGGATTAGCCATTGCTGCTGCTTCCTAGAATCCTGCTTATAGGTTGATACCTGATCTAGCCTGCAGCCTTGCATCTTCTGACTCAACGTCCAGTATACAGTGGTACCTCGGGTTAAGTACTTGATTCGTTCCGGAGGTCCGTTCTTAACCTGAAACTGTTCTTAACCTGAAGCACCACTTTAGCTAATGGGGCCTCCTGCTGCTGCCGCACCACCGCCACACGATTTCTGTTCTCATCCTGAAGCAAAGTTCTTAACCCGAGGTACTATTTCTGGGTTAGCGGAGTCTGTAACCTGAAGCATATGTAACCCAAGGTACCACTGTAATGTGCTGTTTGTGGGGCTACCTTTTGAAGACTACCTTCCAACCAGCAGTTTGGAAACTGCTGTTAGCACAGAATTGTTTCTACAGGGAGGCGGGTGTTTCTGATCCCTTTCAACTCTGCATTGTGCACCACCTACCCCAGGCATAGGCAAACTCTGGCCCTCCAGATGTTTGGGACTGCAATTCCCATCATCCCTAGCTAACAGGACCAGTAGTCAGGGATGATGGGAACTGTAGTCCCAAACATCTGGAGGGCCGGAGTTTGCCTATACCTGACCTACCCTGATGAAGAGCTCTGCCGAACTCTTAACCTTGCACATTGATAAAGGTACTGCCTAATAGCATATATATACATATAATATTGTTGGGGGATATTAAAGTTAAACATGCAATGTAAAATATTTTAAATAAGGAGTTATTTTTAAAAGCAAGCTCCTAAGAGGTGACCCTTGGCCCACATTAAGCCTCCCTGTTCCCGCCCTGGAATGTCTTATCTGTCTACTTCCTGCAACAGACATTAAGCCCCGCCCCTTCAGAAGCCCCGCCCACACCGGCCTTCCGCAGGCCCCGCCCTCTCCCTGCGCGCGCCTCAGCCCCCTCCCCCTCCCGCCGCCCTTCCCTCACCGGTCTCGTGAGCTTTCCTGAGGAGCCAAGCGTCTGCCTTGTCCAGCTCCGAGACGACGGGAGGTCCCGGGCCCCGCCCAGAGCTGGGCCTCGCCGCCCTCCCTTTCCACGGCCAGGCCTCTCCCCTCAACAGGCCGCCGGCCCCTCTCGCCCGCGCCACGGCCCGGCTCCACCAGGCCCCGCTCAGCGCCATGGCGGCGGCCTCGGGAAAGGCTCAAGACTAAGGAGCCGGTGTGCGGAGAGACCGCCCCTGTCAGGCACGGAAGGCGGGGCTGGTGCTGATAGGCCGCGTGGGCTGCCGCTCCTCGGCAGCGCCGCCCCTCCGCTGGGAGATTTCGAGAGGGATTGGCCGAGGCGCATGTCGTTGTGAAGTGAGGCGGAGACGTTGCTTATCAGGATAGGTCCTTCGTGACCCATCGGGTATTCAGCGGGGTACCTTCATCCTTCTGATTGGTCTCCCGAGAGCATTCTGGGAGATGCAATCGCTTTCCTCAGCTCTGGGCTGCCCCGTTGCATGCTGGGGATTGTAGTCTCTACCTCAGGAGAGCCAAGTACAGTAAGTTACACTGTACAGAGAGAGAAAAGCGGTTGAGTGACAGAAAACGTCTCCATGGTTCCAGTTTTAGGACCATTTAGGACCGAGGAAAGCTTCGCTTGTGTGACTGACGAGCGGAAGGAAGGAAAAAGACGTTTTAATTTCAAAGCTCCGCTCAATCTGCCATATGAAAATATGAACAGTGGGCTAAGAGTTCAGGCCTGTCATAAACTGCTCGCTTCCAGCTCCGAGACCCATGTTCAGTGTGGACCATCTTACAGTGATATGACAGGGCTGCCATAAACCACAAAGATAATATTTGTAGTATTGGACCGCACTGCAGGGTTGTCATAAACCCTGCTAGGCTCCCAATGCCCCATTTCTCCTGAGCCATGGACACCAACTCCCTCATCTCTCTGCAATTTATTTATGACAGGAAGTGTTAGCAGGTGAGCATTTGCTTGAGGTCACCAATCTGTGGCAAATATTGCCCTGCTTGGGGTAAAACCTCAAGTGTACCATATACAGTGGTACCTCAGGTTACAGACTCTTCAGGTTACAGACGCTTCAGGTTACAGACTCCACTAACCCAGAAATAGTACCTCGGGTTAAGAACTTTGCTTCAGGATGAGAACAGAAATTGTGCGGCAACGGTGCGGCGACAGGAGGCCCCATTAACTAAAGTGGTGCTTCAGGTTAAGAACAGATTCAGGTTAAGAACAGACCTCCAGAATGAATTAAATTCTTAACCCGAGGTACCACTGTCGATGTATTTGGGCTCCATTCAAAGGCCCCACTTCCTCCTTAACACCAAATACCTTTTTTGCTCCCCGTTTCCTGTCCCTCCAGAGAGCCAGGGCCCCTTTCTCTTCTACATTGGGAAAGAAAACCTAAATTGTGTCTCCATTAAAAAATAATAAATTATGATTTATATATAAATGGTACCAATTTGCAGAGTTTCACACATTATTTTTACAGGTGCCCCACTTCCCGAAATGGCAAGAGGTTTCAGGGGTGCTGCTTTCCTGGAAGGAGAGATCACTGGATGCTTATGTGAGTTTGCAATGTTTGTATTTATGTACAATTATACAAGATGAGCACAGGAAGAGGCAAACAGCACAGCGTTCTTTCCCTCAGTAAATTTACTGCCTTACAATCAAATTCCCTGGATCCAGCACTCCCCAAGATATAATCGCCCAAATTGCGAGAAGTGAGGTTACAGGAAACCAGGCAGAGGGCCTTCTTGGTAGTGGTGCCCACCCTGTGGAGCACCCTCCCTTCAAGGCAATAAGCAACTATCTTACTTTTAAAAGACATCTGAAGGCAGCCCTGTTTAGGGAAGTTTTTAATGTTTAATGCTGTATTGTGTTTTTAATATTCAGTTGGGAGCCGCCCAGAGTGGCTGGGGAAAACCCAGCCAGATGGGCGGGGTATAAATAATAAATTATTAATATTATTTCTTTTCCTTCTTTTTCTCTCTGTGTCTCTCTGCCTATCCCAAAATGCTTCTGTTGTCCTTTGCACACACAGATCTCGAGCCTCACCCGTAGGTGCTGGATAGGGGTGAAGCAGTCAGAAAAGGCATTTGAAATGATTTTCATATTCCCACCATTTCTATTAAACTAGAGCCTGCCCTATCATTTGGCCGAGCGAGGCAACTACTTCTGGTGACAGGTGCTGCGGGTGGAGTAAAGCAGGGGCAGCCCCTCCAGCTCTTCCTGTCAGTTGGAGGGCAGCTTTGTCTGCCAGACGCCCTCCTCTGCACTCACTAAGTAAGCCTGCTGCCCTTGGATGCAGTGGAGAATGCTGACCCATTGCCAGAGCTGAAGTCAGATTTTACTGCCAGAATGTATACATGGGAATGGGGTGAGGGGTGCGGATCTTATAGGCAGTGCTTTGTTTCTACAAAAAAAAAAAAAAAAAAAAGGTGCCGGTACTCTCTGGGCACAAATTTTCCCTGGGGCAAGGAGAAACAATTACATGTTAAACAAATGCATGTTCTACTGAAACTTCATTATGATCTTGGTATATAGTTATTACATGATGCATGATAATGACTTGCGGCAATACCGCAACTTTTTCTGCACTCTCAGTACCTGACTCTGCGTGCTTATTTTCACCACAGGGTCATGCCATCCAACATTCTGCTGGGACACAGGCTTGCACCTCCTACCTCAATCCTGGGAAGTATTTGCACAGCTTAGAGAAGGAGGCACGATGCTTTGAGGGGGTCCAAGAGCCATCCTGCCACCTTCCTAAAGCCCTCCCAGCTTTGGAAACGAGGCAGAAGGGCTCCAGGATCCTGTCAGAGCCTTACGCCTCCTTCCCTAAGCTCAGAAAATGTTTGCCCAGCTTAGGGAAGGAGGCGCAATGTTCTGACAGGTCCGAGAGCCGCCCTGTCTCCTCCCCTCCAAAAAAGGTGGTGGAACTGTGTTCTGGCATGTTCAGCACTGCTAATAACCTGCTTCAAACATCAAAATGTATTGGGCTGGGTCCAGATATCAATTCTAGCCCATAACGCTCTTTTACTAATCCTGGAAATCAGAGAGCAAATTCACCAACATTATGTTCCATGACATTTATAGTTAAGTATAAATACTTCAATACACACACACACACACACACACCCCAGCACTTGTTGGTTTATTTAATAAAATTTATATACCACTTTATTGTATTGACGCTTTTAAGGTGCTTACAAGAAATATTAAAATTATCGTAAACAACAGTTAAAAACAGTAATTAAAATGAATTAAAAGATTATCAGTAAAATAAATTAAAATACATCACCATCTATATATCTAAGTAGGCTTGCCTAAACAAAAACACAGGTGCTGAAATGTTGCCTTTACTATACCTACATAAATCTCAACAGAAAATGATCTGACCATGTGCTGTTGTCAATATCTCCCACTTTTAGAACACCCTCCTCCTGCCCAGTTGAGAAGAGCCCAGGACGGCAAACAAATAAGAATTAAAATATCCAAAAACAACCCCAATACAAATGCAGACTGGGAAATAGCTTATTGACAAGAGGGTCTTCAGGTAGGTCCCGAAAAGACAACAGACCCCCTAATTTTCACAGTGTTTCATTTTCCAGTGATAGACATGCAGCAGTGCCATTTCAGGGTTTGGTGGGGGAGATTCCCATCTGAGTTTCAAGCTCTGCCATTTCGGTATATTAACTACTGATTTAAAACAATGCATGTTAAAAATATTTGTCTTGTTGCTTTTTAATGCCTTCTTTGACAACCTCCTGCATAAGAAACATAGAGATAGGAGCATTTGAGATATAATGATGTGAGAGTTGATTTAACATCCTAATTGGCAAGCCAGTATTGATCCAGGGTTGTTAAAATTGTCTACCAAATGTCTAACTAGTATTGGTTGAGGTTTAATTTCTGGGTCATGGATATTGGTGGTTCTGGGGTATTTTTGTGTTTGGTTCTTTTAACTAGGGCTTTTTTTCAGACCGGGAACTCACTAGAACTCAGTTCTGATACCTCTCAGGTAGGCGCCATTGCCATTCTAAGAGAACAAGGGAGGTGTTCATGGTGAGTTCCAGCACCTCTTTTTCTAGAAAAATAGCACTGCTTTTAACCCTTTTGAGAAATGAGAAGTGGTAGAGCCCTTCGACTCTCTAAGCTCAGCCTTCCTCAGCATGGTGCCCTCCAGATGTCTTGGACTACAACTCCCATCAGCCTCGACCAGCACAACTGCAGAAGGCTGTCTCATACCTGCAGCCATATGCATTTTCAAATTGTTTGGGTTGTGCTTGCTGTTGTGACACTGTTCTTGATTTCATTTCATTTTTTTTTTCATTTCACTTTTAATTTGTATACCGCCTTTCTATATTAGTATACACAAGTCTGTTTACAAGCTGAAGGAACAACAAAATATACAACAAAGATCACACACACCTTATATCAAATTGATCCAATACAAAAAAGTCATCATAAAAATATATTTTTAAAATAAACAATTTATATCAAATAAAGTAACATTCAATAATCCATTACATATACAATAACATTATGTATCAGCAAATAATAATTAAACAAATTCACTCTCAACAATTACAATAAATAATTACTAAACTATAATCTGTAAAAGTAACAGCAATTCACAATGAAGAAAATACCACAATACATACAAAACCTTGTAAAAGGATCAAGTTGAGAAACAAAGGCACACAACTTACAAAGTTATTTTAAAAAAATATTTCTGAACTCATCTTCTCTCATAATTCTTCCTTCGGAAACAGCTCCTTTATGAAGGAGACTGCTAGGGCTGGGGCGTCGGGCAAGGCGGGTGGAAAAAGCCTTTGACTGATGGCAAGCACAAAGTCTCTCCCCCCTCATAATTCTTCCTCTGAAAACACCTCCCGTATGAAGGAGACTTCTAGGGCTGGGGCGTCGGGCAAGGCGGGTGGGAAAAGCCATTGCCTCATGGCCAGCACAGAGTCTTTCCCCCCTCACATTTCTTCCTCTCAGAACAGCTTCCTTATGAAGAATACTCCTAGAGGTGGGGCGTCGGGCAAGGCAGGTGGGAACAGCCATTGCCTCATGGCCAGCACAAAGTCTTTCTCCCCTCAATGGATGGTGACTTGCTGCCTTTTCCTCTACTGTTCCTTTCTCTGCTTTTTCTTCCTCTGCCGTTATGCTGTTCAGGCCCCGTAGCAACTCAAACGGCCTTTTCAAAGAGAGATCCAAACTGATCAGGTAATTTGCCAAATATCTGGCCCACTTTGCTGTGATATGGGACCTGGTGACCAGGAAGCTTCTGAACAGATCTGGATCTCCATCAAGTTCCAGAAGTTTTTGGATATCATTCTTAATCTTAGCCAATGCTGGCTCATGTTCATCATAAATCTCCAGTAATGTTTTGCCGTCTTCCTCTGTTTCCCTCCATAGCAGATTTCTTCCTTGTCTATCTGCTTCCCTCCTCTGGCTTTCCTCAAGCTTTCTTCGGTATCGGGCATCATCCAAACATTGCAAAATCCAGCACAGGCGGCAAGGCCAGCCGTTGGAAAGAACAACCCAGTCTATCACCTCTCTGATGTCAATTTTTTCCTCATATTTCCAAGGAGCCTTCGATTCCATCTTGGTGATGGACAAGATGGTCAGGACTGTGTTCACCACCCTCTTCAGTTGCGCAGAATTCCCTGGAATGTATTCATTATTCATCAGGTGCTTACAAATACTTAACTTTTCGTTACAGCTGGGGTCTTCTAAACCTACCACCGTGATCTTGATGTTGCTTTCTTCGCAAGAGCATGCAGCTGGATTCTCATAATCCACCTTCAGGATCTCATTAAACAGCCTTAATTTGTCCTTGGGAGTCATCTGCGGCAGGGAGAAGGGCAAGGACACAATTCGGTTTAAGTACAAGTAGCCATTTGTGTTTTTCTTTTGTTTCTGAATACAATCCACAAGGATGCTTGGATCGGCAGCCAAGATGGAGATAAATGGGGCGTCTTTGTTGGAAAGAAGTATGTTTATGGCATCCAGAACATCCACCACTTTGTCCTGAGTGCACCTGTCCAAATTGATGATTTTCAGGACCACCAGGATCTTTCGATTCTCTATCCATCCCAGGAACTGGAGGAAATTCGCTATGGTTTCCACTTCTTCTTTCACAAAGTTCATGAAGCCCATCTTGGCACTGAGGGTATTTCTGTCAATTTCTATCTGAAGCTTCTTTTTCAGTGTGTAGTAGAACTTGGTCATTACGTGTATGAAAGGAGCGATAAACAGAATAGCCCCTACTAAAGCAGTGGATCCAAAGAGCGACTTTAAATTATCTTCCTTTATCAACATGCTAACTGCTAGTAAAATAAGAATCAAACCTATTATAATAGGAATGAAGAACTTCCCCCATCCTTTAAAAACCCATTTCCTTCTCTTAGTTTTTTTCAGAGATTGCCCATCAAGGATCATAAAAGTTGTAAAAAGTGCTTTGTTTTTTCCTTCGATTCCATCAAGCAGCGCTGTAAGAATGCCAGCCCAGATGTGGTCACATCCCACATACTCCCAGGCATCGAAATGGATGAAGATGTACTGGGTACCTTTGTATTCTTCTGAACCAGAAGCAGGGTAACATAGAATCATATGCCAAATGAGTGAAAACAGGGAATACTTTCTTCCACCTTCCTCTCCCTCCGTGGGCATGTGGCCTGTAAAAGAAAGCAGAAGCACACCATTTATATTAATCTGTACCCGTTATTACTTAATATTGATTTCTCCTGGCCCCGTTTTATTCCACACTCCTTACATTTTGTCTCCTTATCTGGGCTTTCTGTTCCCATGGGAATTGGTGGTACTTACTTTCAATTTCATCTAAGAGTCTTCTTTTGTTTCTTCCCCATGGTGCATAGAATCCCACTGTCACTGGCGGGTCAATCTCTTGTAGAGTCTTTGCCAGGGCTTTGCAGTAAAGGGCTTCGTGGGTTTCAACTGTGCAATCACAATCCATTTTACAGGAAAGAAAGCAAAAAGATATTATTTTTAAAAAAACCAGGTGGATAGTAGCTGCTTTCGGCACCTCCTATTGCAACCACAGGTGTGAAATAAAGAGGCAGGCCACAGGAGAAGTTAAAGGCAGGCTTGGGTGACAAGGGTTTTGCTTTTTAGCAAGCCCAAATTGTTGCACCCACATGAATGACAAGGATCTGAGAGGTGTGCTGCAGCAGCACAGGGTCAAACCATGTTGGCAAGAGGCAATCCCACCTCATACAACGCCTACCCATCCAATGCACTGAAGCTCAGAGACTGAACCCAAACTGAGCAGTTTTCTACACCTTCTGACTGACCCAAAACACCATGCTGTGGACACCAGTAAGCACTGTGAGATGCACGTCAGGTGGAACCATAACCTATGTGGGCCCTTAGATGGCCTAACATTAGGCTGTAAAGCTCCAAATGTCAAGTCCACCATGGCCTGTATATCCTTGCTGCCAAAACTCAAAGTGCCAGCAGTAGTATATGCAGCAGCACTGCAAAAGGATTGTGCACCAGAACAGGTCACATCCATCCCCAGCCATGTCAAGGCACGATTTGTAACAGCCCCAAACTGCTATTTAATGAGGAACTTCCCATCATGGTGATGAAACAGTGGATTTGCAGAAGGCAGAAGGCTGACTTAATGTCGCACTTACCCATGAAAACACATTGGGCGACAACAGTGAACCATGATGATTCCGCTATCCAAGCAAAAGTAGCAATCTGAACAAAGGTGATCAGGGAGGGGCATCATTAACCACCTGCCCCTTGTGCTGGGACCACTGCTGAATGAGATGGGGTTGAACCTCCTGCTTCAGGGGCCACAGGGAAGATGTAGCACTGACTGCCTCAAGCATGAAACTAAAGCAGCCTGGCTACAGGCTCATACCACCACTGCTGCCACACGTGATTTCTCTTTCCTCCACAAGGCTTCCTCAGAGGCGCATGTACCATAAAGATCTGAAGAAGCCAAGAGGGAGGTGGGGTGGGCTTAAATAGCCCCCTGCTCTGCTTAGCTCACTCTGTGCCAACATGCAATAGCACAGTAGTTTGTGGGTAAAGGCACATCATCAATAAATAAATAAATAACATTTTATTTATATCCCACCCTCCCCAGCCGAAGCCGGGCTCAGAGCGGCTAACAACAGTAAAATAATACAGCATGGCCCATTCCTGAAGTGGCCACAAAGGCCCACTGCTACCAGAACCCTGTGGACCGAGCGGCCAAGAGGGGAAAGTGCAGAAAACTGATTTAGTAATAATGATGCACCTTCGTGGTCTCTCATCAGTGCTTGGTGCTCTGGATCATTCATCTCTGTGGCAAAGCGTCTCAACTTCAGCAGCTGCCCAACTCTGTCAAAAAAGATATACATAGAATAAATACATTTTGGGGCAGGGCACTAGCTTAAAGGAAGGGTAAGTGGTGGTGGGCCATACTGCTTAAATGCTACCAATTCCCACCATACCTAATGTCTCCCCATTCATCTCCAGTCTCAGTTAAAAGGTGCTGGTTAAAGCCAGGCTACTTAAGCATTATCTGTATAGCTCAGTGGGTAAGAGCATGGTGCCAGGCTTGCAGGCTTGATCCCTGTACGGGACAGCTACATATTCTGGCTATTGCAGGGGGTTGGACTAGATGATCCTCAAGGTCCCTTCCAACTCTACAGTTCTATGATTCTATTATCTCATCGGCATTTATGATCCTGACTGTCCCCTGTGGTCAGTGGGTGAGGTGCAGCTGGGAACAAGTAGCACCCTGGTAATGCAGCACCCAGATCAGCCTCTCCTAATCTGTGACCTTCCAGATGTTTTGTAGTACAACTCCCATTAGCCACAGACATGATGGTCATGCTGGATAGAAATCCTTGGATATGATCTGAAGATCCATGAGGCTAAAGCCAAGCTAGACAACGTACGAATTCTCGTGGCTTGGGACTGTCCTCCATTCCCTGATCCATAACATTTATGCAGATGCATAAATCATCTCTAGATAAGTAAATTAACCCCACCCTCTTCTTTTTTGCCTTAAAAAAGAATGCACCTTACCTGGAAAAAAACCCAACACGAGCATGGACTTGTTTGGATCCTTCACCTGAAGGCTTGCCACAGATTTAGTGGAGCTTGAATAACCCCAGACACTGACTCTTGGCTCTGAATCTCGCAGACTATATATTAAATGGGATGTGGCTAACCATGACACAATATGAGCAGTGGCTTTCAACATAATGAAAGGAAACTCGGATTACACCAGCTTGCTTGGTGAGAAGTTTGCTTGGCTGTAGATTCACAGAAAGTAAACAATTATCAGTTCATAAAAGCCAGTAATTTATTGTTGTCACCATAGGTCTTAATAAAAGTAACCATCATACAGAAATGAAAAAGATTTCTTAGGATAGTTATGTAACATTAGTAATATCTTGGTAAGGTGTAGCTTTTCTTCACAAAAGCAAAATAAGCTACTTTTTCAGTAATCACCCTATGATTTGTGGTAGAATCAAAGTATTTGTTTCTTTATTTGCCCAGTGGCAGACCAGTGAGAAAGTGACTTGGATTTTGGTTGCTTGAAAACAGAATAGAAAATGAGGGTTATGTTCAACCTCTTCAAACCTACAAATACAGCATCTCTGAGCAGAGAGAACCTTCCTCAACAGACTACTGTACTGTGGTACCTCAGGTTAAGAACTTAATTTGTTCTGGAGGTTTGTTCTTAACCTGAAACTGTTCTTAGCCTGAGGTACCACTTTAGCTAATGGGGCCTCCCTCTGCCGCCACGCCACCACCGCGCGATTTCTGTTCCTGAAGCAAAGTTCTTAACCTGAGGTACTATTTCTGGGTTAGCGGAGGCTGTAACCTGAAGCATCTGTAACCTGAAGGGTCTGTAACCCAAGGTACCACTGTAATGTGCTGTTTATGGGGCTACCTTTTGAAGATTACCTCCCAAACAGTTTGTTTGGAAACTGCTGTTGGTGCAGAATACAGCAGCTAGATTGCTGCTAACTAGCACCTTGCACTGAGAAACTGTTGCCCCCTTGTTCAAGAACTGCACTGGTTTCCCCGAGTGCAGTTCAGAGCTGATGTTTCCCTTCAAAGCTCTACATGGCTTGGGATCTGTCTTGTAGGAACGTCTTCCCCTCATATTAAACTGCCCTTGTCTTGTGATCCTCTTTGCAGGTCTTCCTCCAAGTGTCCTCACCAACTGAGGGAAGGGTCTGACTCTGACCACAACCGAGAAGAACTAATATGTAGGTGCTACCCCATTTATTGAACACTTTCTCATCTTTGGAGTGTGGCATGAAGGACTTTTGACTTTTAATACAGTACTCATTTTGGTCTCTGGTTTATAAAGCTGCTATTGATTATCCTATTATTATTTCGTTAATGTGTTATTAGTGAATAGGAATTTCACCCTGCATTAAGAGAGTCACTCATCACTTGAATTGACAGGAAGCAGGTGCATGAGTTTCTTGCTCATACTAAAATTAAGGAACAAGCTATTGCACAGCTAACCACACTAGAGGTAGTGATCTTGGCAGCCAGGAAAAGGAACAAATGCATTGTTTTTGTCGTTTATAACTGGTAATCCTTCCTTCTTAGCATTTTCCTCGAGATGGGGATATGAGTCTTTTCCGAGGAACTCTTAGGTCTGAAAAGATGACACTTACCTCATGAGTTCTACTCTCTAAGGAAAGGGTCTGTTTCTTGGCTAAGTGTTAATGACATAATGAGTCAAATATCACTCATGAAGACTTGGCACAAGAATGAAATTCCAATGCTGACAATGTGTGTGTATGAATTCCCAGCAGAGCTCTTTAGAGTGGTAAACCGGCTGGTCCAGATCGGTGTGGTATCATTGACAGTCAATAGCCTGCTGGGAGAGACCTGTGAATCACTTTTAGGGTAAAATCATCTGAACCCATGCTGAACTTGATGCCACAATGGTTTCAGGTTTATTGAAAGTCTCTGGAGCATCAGGGAATTACAGGTGTGAACAGGATCCTTGCACAATGAGGCCGTAGCTACCACTTTGAAGAGGGTCTTCCCAGCCTCCAGAGGTTTTTGAGAACTACTGTCCGCTCTCTAATATTCCTTTCCTCAGCAAGACGATCAAGAGGGTGGTGGCTGCCCAGCCGCAGGTATGCCTGTAGGAAGTTGATTATCTAGCTCCATCCCAGTCTGGTTTCAGACCTAGTTCTGGTAACAAATCAGTCTTGGTCACTCTGACTGATGACCTCTCTTGGGAGAGAGACAAAGGGTACTGAACCCTGAAGGTACTGTACTGCAATGGTTTCATTCCTACCTGCAGGGTTAGTACCAGGAAGTAGTACTAGGCGATTGTTGCTTGGCTCCATGGCTTTTGGACTGTGGAGTCCCGGAGGGTCCATTATGTCTCCTTTCAATTTAACATCTATATGAAACCATTGGGAGCAGTTGTTTGGGGATTTGGAGTGTGGTGTCAACTATATGCTGAAGACACGCAGCTCTTATCTCTCCATTCCATCAGAAAGAGGCAGTGATGAACTGGATGGGAGCCAGTAAAATGAGGCTGAATCCTGATGAGACAGAAGTGATTTGGGTGAATGGTTCTCCTATCCAGAAACTAGGTACACATCCTGTTCTGCAAGGGATTACACTTCCTTGAAGGACCAGGTTTGTAAATTGTCTCAGGAGCCCTTAAAGCTCGGAGTGGTTTACACAGAAGTCTTAAAGATTGTTATGGACTGGCTGGATGCAGAGGAGTGGTGAGAGGCAGCAGCTGGGGAACCCCCAAAGGAGGAAGGCTCAGAGCCAGGGTGGGGTGGGATGACAATGAGAGGGAGAAGAGGGAGCAGACTGGAAGGAGTAGGTGTTGGATCCTGGAGAGGCAACAGCATTTAGTGAGCAGGAAGAGTCTGTGGCAGAGAGCAGTTCAGAAGCAGAGGCTGGAGAGGAGAAGGGGCCAAGAGGCAGAGATGAGTCAGACTGGTGAAGGAGCCAGGGGGTCTCCCCCGTTGCTGCAACCAGCTCCCCTCCTCCCTGGTCTCCCAAAACCAGAAGAGGTATGAAGAGGGAGGAGCAAAGACAGACAAGGTGTCAGAGTCTCAGATTGCTTGGGAAGGACCTGAGGGAGCAGGAGACTTAGAGAGCTGTGGGATGGCGGGGCTCGTCAGTCCTCACAACTGTCTCATTATGGCAAGATCTACTGGGAAGAGTTGCTGTGCTCACTGGGCCTGGCCTCCTGAGCTGTTTTGTTTCTTTGAATAAAGAGAGTTAGCTTCACTGACACTCTGCGAGTTATTGCTGACTTGCTCCTGACAACCACTCTGACAAGTATCAATAAAAATTATGTAATAAAGTCATTGAACCAAGCTCCAAGAGAATAAAAAAAATTGTGTACTGCTGCATCTCCCCACCACTGGCCTACTTAGTGCAAGATGGTTCTTGAGTAGTCCTGTGGGGGCAGTGCAAGAGGGGTAACACCTCAGCTGGACCACTGGGAGATGATGGGCGGCTCTTCCACCCCTTTTTTTGCTATAATCTTTTTGCTGTAATCTGTAATCTTTTTTGCTGCAATCCACCCTGGAAATACTTGCACTGAAGGGCGGCATATAAATTATAGGAACAAACAACTCCTTCCTATAAAATTCTAATTCTAGTTAGGTCACTGTGGCTGTTCCCTCTGCCTTTCATCCCACCTCACTCCCACATTTGCTGGCACTTGGGTGGTCAGTTGCCCACCCAGCTGCGTACTCCTCACTCCCTTCATCACACGTCTTGTTGGTCTCCAGGAACAGAGAGGAAGGAGCTAGATGAAGCAGCTGTGGCTCAGGCAAGCTATTACGCATTTTTCTTGACTCATCCTGGCAAATAACCCCGTAAGGCAGTCTGATAATTATCTACTTATTTCATAACAACAGTAGCGTTTCAGTGTTCAAAGCACTTCATTTATTGCCTTGGTTCTTCCTTAGAAACACCCCTGTGAGACTGACCAATATCTGTGTTTCTATTATTATTTATTGAATACCGAAATAGTATGGGGTGATGGAAGTTGTGGTACAACATATGGAGAGCCACAGGTTCTGCATCCTCCACCAGGGCCAGGGCCTTTTCAGTGATGGCTCCGACCTGGTGGAATGCTCTGTCCCATGAGACTAGGGCCCTACAGGATTTAACCTCCTTTCTCTGGGCCTGTAAGACAGAGCTATCCCGCCTGGCCTTTAATTTGAATTCAGTCTGATCTTTTATTTCCCTTCTCTTCTCTTCCTTCCCCCTCCCCTTTTATGAAGATTACCCACTCTGGGACCCCATAGCTAATTCTCCCCTGGCCTCCTCGCTGGCCCAAGTAGGACTGATTCAGCCAGCTAGTCCAATCTAATGTTTATTGGATGGAATTTCCCCAAATTGATTTTTGAACTTTGAATTTTATTGTTATTCATGCTTTTCTACTGTATTTTATGTTGCTTCTGTGTTGTATTACAATTAAGTGTTTTAAATTTGTTGTTAGCCACCCTGAGCCCGGTTTTCTGAACCGGGAAGGGTGGGGTATAATTATTATTATTATTATTATTATTATTATTATTATTATCATCATCTCTATTCTAAACTGGATCCCACATAAGATGGACTGTGTTCTTTAGCTATCAATCACTAGGTAACACTATACAATTTGGCTGCAATTGACTGTTTCACCTGCTATACACCACCTCAATCTAATTACCGGCTTTGGTGATGTAGACATCTGTTCTCCTCTTTACAACTGCTTTCTGCCTAAAGGAGATGTGTTTCATTTAAGGCAGGGATGAGGTGCCTGTGGCCCTGTTGCTGGATGACAGCTCCTATCATCCTTGACCATTCATTGTGCTGCCTGTGGACTCCTGGGGGTTGAGAGTCTAACAGCATCTGGGGGGGGGGCACAGTTTCCCCAAACCTGGCTTAATACATGAGACAGATCTGGGTAGCAGCAAGGCTTAACGTTTTCAAATATGGGGGTCAGCCATTGTTGCTTTTATGCCAGGTATAAGCTGCTACCTGATCTAATCTGCAATCTCCATCTTCAAATTGAGTCTATATCCAGACCTCAAGAGTTCAGCATCCAGCCTAGTTGTTTCTGGGGGCGGGGAAGGGTGGGTCTGATCCCTTCCAACCCTGCTTGTGTACCATCAACCCTGATGAAGAGTTTTGCAGAACTCAAAACCTTGCACATCATTTTGCCACATGTTTGACGGTCCCAATTAAGTTATTGCCCAATGGCCTATTTTTTTGGGGGGGGGAGGGGTATTAAAGTTTAAAGTCTATTGTTTGGTTTTGGTTTTGATTCAGAAAGCACAATTCTGGGATATATACAGTCTCTTTGCTAAGGTTGTTACCATCTGATATGAGGCAAATATGGTGGGGTGGGTACTGATTTGAAACAGTTAACTCTACGTTTATACAGTTGGGGCACTATTTTGAATGATGTGAAGTTTTAAAGGAAATTTCTTTTACTTTAATTTCTTAAGGAAATTTCCTTTAATTTCTTAAGGAAATCAGCCCTGAGTGCTCACTGGAAGGACAGATCCTGAAGCTGAGGCTCCAATACTTTGGCCACCTCATGAGGCAAAACCAGAGCAGTGCACAGAAACGCCGTTTACCTTCCCGCCGGAGCGGTGCCTATTTATCTGCACTTTGACATGCTTTTGAACTGTTAGGTTGGCAGGTGCTGGGACAGAGCAACGGGAGCTCACCCTGTTGCGGGGATTCGAACCGCCGACCTTCTGCTCGGCTCTGTGGTTTAACCCACATCACCACCCATGTCCCTTAAGCCCAGTAGTAGATCCCAAACATCCCAAGGTGCACTTCCTTTTCTAATGCACACAGGAGTCTCCTGTCACTTTCAAATCACCCAATATCAACATTTCTCCCATCTTAAAGGCTGTCAAGACGCCTGCTTCTTGGGAGAAAAGCAATGACAAACCTAGAAAAGCAATGACAAACATTAAAAAGAAGAGACATCACCTTTCCAACAAAGATCCATATAGTTAAAGCTATGGTTTTCCCAGTAGTGATGTATGGAAGTGAGAGCTGGACCATAAAGAAGGCTGATCGCCGCATAATTGATGCTTTTGAATTATGGTGCTGGAGGAGACTCTTGAGAGTCCCATGGACTGCAAGAAGATCAAAGCTATCCATTCTTAAGGAAATCAGCCCTGAGTTCTCAGTGGAAGGACAGATCCTGAAGGTGAGGCGCCAATACTTTGGCCACCTCATGAGAAGAGAAGACTCCCTGGAAAAGACCCTGATGTTGCACAAGGAGAAGGGGACGACAGAGGACGAGATGGTTGGACAGTGTTCTCGAAGCTACTAACATGAGCTTGACCAAACTGCGGGAGGCAGTGGAAGACAGGAGTGCCTGGCGTTTTCTTGTCCATGGGGTCATGAAGAGTTGGAAACGACTGAACAACAACAAAAGTTTTAAATGCTATAAAAAGGGAGAAAATGGGTGTGCTTGTACTTACAAGAAACCCACGATAAGAGGCCCGCCGATTGTTTGCTTAAACATCAGGGGCACAGTGTGCAATTCACCTCTCCAGGTTCATCCAAATCACTAGGAGGCATGGGGCTCCAGCAGATGATGGCAGTTGTCTTATCTTTGTTAAAGAATTATTGCAGCGTCACCTGTGCTTCAATTTACAACCCTAATTCAGGTCAACAGCCATTTGACAGCCTTTGCTGTTGTTGTTGTTTAGTCATTTAGTCGTGTCTGACTCTTCGTGACCCCATGGACCAGAGCACGCCAGGCACTCCTGTCTTCCACTGCCTCCCGCAGTTTGGTCAAACTCATGCTGGTAGCTTCGAGAACACTGTCCCACCATCTCGTCTTCTGTCGTCCCCTTCTCCTTGTGCCCTCCATCTTTCCCAACATCAGGGTCTTCTCCAGGGAGTCTTCTCTTCTCATGAGGTGGCCAAAGTATTGGAGCCTCAGCTTCAGGATCTGTCCTTCCAGTGAGCACTCAGGGCTGATTTCCTTCAGAATGGATCAGTTTGATCTTCTTGCAGTCCATAGGACTCTCAAGAGTCTCCTCCAGCACCATAATTCAAAAGCATCAATTATTCGGCGATCAGCCTTCTTTATGGTCCAGCTCTCACTTCCATACATCACTACTGGGAAAACCATAGCTTTAACTATACGGACCTTTGTTGGCAAGGTGATGTCTCTGCTTTTTAAGATGCTGTCTAGGTTTGTCATTGCTTTTCTCCCAAGAAGCAGCGTCTTGACAGCCTTTAAGTTGGGAGAAATGTTGATATTGGGTGATTTGAAAGTGACAGGAGACTCCTGTGTGCATTAGAAAAGGAAGTGCACCTTGGGATATTTGGGATCTACTACTGGGCTTAAGGGACACGGGTGGTGATGTGGGTTAAACCACAGAGCCTAGGGCTTGCTGAGCAGAAGGTCGGCGGTTTGAATCCCTGCGGCGGGGTGAGCTCCCGTTGCTCTGTCCCAGCACCTGCCAAACTAGCAGTTCAAAAACACATCAAAGTGCAAGTAGATAAATAGGTACTGCTCCGGCGGGAAGGTAAATGGCGTTTCTGTGCGCTGCTCTGGTTCGCCAGAAGCGGCTTAGTCATGCTGGCCACATGACCCAGAAGCTCTACGCTGGCTCCCTAGGCCAATAAAGCGAGATCAGCACCGCAACCCCAGAGTTGTTTGCGACTGGACTTAACTGTCAGGGATCCTTTACCTTTACCTTTTACTGGGCTTAAACATTTTCAGGAACATGCTTTAGTGGACACCTGGCGCCACCTACAGCATGGAGAGCATATTCACACATTTTCCTCTCCTTGGCATGCTGTTCACACAAGAATCTATTTTATACTGAGTTCCTCCAGTCTGGTGTCTAGGGTGGAAATAGCAGAGAGAGGTCCAAGGAGGCATCTGACCACGCCATGCTTAAAGCACTGCTGTGGAGAGATGAATCACCCCCCACACCCCATGTAGACTCTGTTAACTAAATGAGTTCATTGTGAAAGAAAATATATACGGAGGCTTTATTTAAACTTTACATAGGGGACAACATTCACCTGCATTTTAAGCATCTTATTGGCCAGCTTTTATTAGCATCATGCCTTGTAATAGCTTGATACTGAAATTTATTTGAAATTTACCGTATTTTTCTCTGTATAAGATGCCCCCATGTATAAGATGCCCCCTACTTTTGGGGACCCCAAATTTAGAAAATGGGCAAATGCACTATCCATGTATAAGACGCTCCCAGATTTTAAAACTTATTTTAAAGTTAAAAAAACCCTAGTCTTATACACGGAAAAGTACGGTATATAGGTTGTGACATTGGCCACATGATATTAAAAAGTCTGGCAATTGGTGCTGATAGAAAAATTAACTACTAAACTAAAAATATCAAGGGGAATGAAGCAAAAAAACACATGTTGGTTGGATTGGCATATCTTTATTAAGTATAGTGCAAAATAGAATGTGGGACATCCTTCACATTCTTTTTTTCTTTTTTTAGTTCCTGTAGTTTTTTCGTTTCACACATTAGTGTTATAGGTTCCGCACTCCAAATGGCAATAAATTTCAGGGACGGTGCTTTTCTGGGTTCAGCTCCAACAGGAAGGATAAATCACTGGAGACTGATGGCAGTTGGTAATATTTGGATATATTTACAAAAATACAAGTTAGGCATAGGTGAAAGCGAACAGCATAATATTCCAGCCCACAGCATATCAACTGCCTCACATCAAATCAAGTATTCCCAAGATATATCTCCCCCGCTTTCGCTCACTCTGGTTTCCATCCTTAAACATATAGCCCTGAATATATTTGAATGGATTATAGAATTATAGGTTTACTTGAGAAGAAGCTTGCTTCATACCTCACCATTTCCCACCAGCCCGATATAAAGTAGCATCTCGAGCCAGGATTCTGTTTTACCCAGTTCTTAGTATATTTAACATGCTTTCAGCTGTTATCGGTGTTTTAAATATTTTTATTTTTATAGTTTGTAGCGAAAAGTTAACCAAGACAATAAAGAAATGCTTTGAACTCTGAAATACTATTGTTATTATTAGAGAATGATACATAAAGATACATTTTTATTGACACAAGAGTTTTTTATGTAAGCTACACTGAGGATTGGCTGAAGAGTGTTAATAAAAACCTTAAATAAATCAATGAAAGATAAAAATGCAGAGTAATAGCAACAATACAATCTCAAGAAACAGATAGCAGCATAACAATAAAAGATAAAATAAGTTAAATATTAAAGTTGACCAGATCTTTCCAAACTGTGTGTCGCGACACATCAGTGCGTCAGCCACAGTGTGTAGGTGTGTCGTGTGAACGCTCCCCATGTTCCGGGGCTGGAAAGGGGTTAGTTTAACCTCTGGTTTGCTAGTAAAAACTGAATTACTGTGTTGCGAAATGATGCATGTCTAAAAAGCGTGTCACCAACCTGAAAAGTTTGGAAAGCTCTGAAATAGACTCCTGGAGGCCGGGAGTCCAAAAGCATCTAGAGGGCCACAGGTTCAAAGCCTAATTCTTTCAGAAATATGTATCTACCTATTCTGCTTTCCCCAAAATCCTAGTTATAACCTAATACCTGACCTAGTCAGCAGTCTGCATCTTCACACTGTGTCTATATGCAGACCTCCAGACTTCAACATCCACCCTGTTTTGGGGTGGGTTTCTCCTCACTTCCAACCTGCAAACCAGGATTGTTCCAAAGTTGTTAAATGTTTCTACCAAATGGCAAACTAGTATTAGTTGAGGTTATTTTTGCAGTTCATGGATATTGGTGGTTTTGAGGTAATTTAGTGTTTTGTTCCTGTACTCTTTTGAGTACAGGAAGCCCACAACTTACACACCTTTAATTTGTGTATATTCAGCTTTACGGTGTGGCAAAAAATAAATAAATTTAAAAAGTGGGTGGAAAGAGGACAGGGTTCGGGGGGGGGGGAATGGCTTTGGTAATCCCACAATATGCGATTTTGGCTTTATTCGTGAACTGTGGTAACTCCCTAGTAATTGTGGATTTACAGTAATTATAAGAGGCAAAAATAATCAAATCACTTAGCTCAGCCTACTACCATCTAGATACAACTTCCACCGGTTTGTCTAGTACAGCTTAGGAGTACTGTCCTGGCTGCTAAGCATATACAGTGGTGCCTCGCAAGACGAAATTAATCCGTTCCGCGAGAGTCTTCGTCTAGCGGTTTTTTCGTCTTGCGAAGCAAGCCCATTGACGGATTAGCGCTATTAGCGCTATTAGCGGTTTAGCGGCTATTAAAGGCTTAAAGGCTTAGGGGATTAGCTGCTAAAAGGCTATTAAAGGCTATTAAAGGCTTAGCAGATTAGATAAAGGGGGGGGAAAGCGGGGGAAAAAATTCAAGACTCGCAAGACATTTTCGTCTTGCGAAGCAAGCCCATAGGGGAATTCGTCCTGCGAAGCAACTCCAAAACGGAAAACCCTTTCGTCTAGCGGTTTTTCCGTCTTGCGAGGCATTCGTCTTGCGGGGCACCACTGTATGTTTTCAAACTGTTAGGATTTTGATTTCTTGTTGTGACACTCAATGGATGGTGACTTGTTTCTTCCTCTGCTTTTATGCTGTTCAGGCCCCGTAGCAACTCAAACGGCCTTTTCAAAGAGAAATCCAAACTGATCAGGAAATTTGCCAAATATCTCGCCCACTTTGCTGTGATCTGGGACCTGGTGGCCAAAAAATTTATGAAAAGATCAGGATCGCCATCCAGTTCCAGAAGTCTTTTTATATCATTCTTAATTTTAGCCAGTGCTGGCTCATTGTCATTGTAAATCTCCAGTAATGTTTTGCCATCTCCCTCTTCTTCCCTCCATAGTCGGCTTCCTTCTTTTCTATCTGCTTCCTCCTTCTGGTTTTCCTCAAGCTTTCTTTGCTGTCTGGCATCTTCCTCACATTGCAAAATCCAGCTCAGGCGGCAAGGCCAGCAGTTGGAAAGAACAACCCAGTCTATCAGTTCTTCAATGCTGATTCTTTCCTCATATTTCCAGGGAGCCTCTGATTCCAGCTTGGTGATGGACAAGATGGTCAGGACTGTGTTCACCACCCTCTTCAGTTGCGCAGAATTCCCTGGGATGTATTCGTTATTCATCAAGTGCTTACAGATAATTAACTTTTCGCTACAGCTGGGGTCTTCTAAGCCTACCACTTTGATCCTGATGTTGCTTTCTTCGCAAGAGCATGCATGATAATCCACCTTCAGAATCTCATTGACCAGCCTTAATTTGTCCTTGGGAGTCATCTGCGGCAGGGAGAAGGGCAAGGACACAATTCGGTCTAAGTACAAGTAGCCATTCGTGTGTTTCTTTTCTCTTTGAATACATTCCACAAGGATGCTTGGATCAGCAGCCAAGATGGAGATAAATGGGGCATCCTTGTCGGAAAGAAGTATGTTTATGGCATCCAGAACATCCACCACTTTGTCCTGAGTGCACCTGTCCAAATTGATGATTTTCAGGACCACCAGGATCTTTCGCTTCTCTATCCATCCCAGGAACTGGAGGAAATTCACTATGGTTCCCACTAATTCTTTCACAAAGTGCATGAAGCCCAGCTTGGCACTGAGGGTATTTCTGTCAATTTCTGTCTGAAGCTTTTTTTTCAGTGTGAAGTAGAACTTGGTCATTACATGTATGAAAGGAGCGATAAACAAAATAGCCCCTACTAAAGCAGTGGATCCAAAGAGCGACTTTAAATTACCTTCCTTTATCAACATGCTAACTGCTAGTAAAAGAAGAATCAAACCTGTTATAACAGGAATGAAGAGCTTCCCCCATCCTTTAAAAACCCATTTCTTTCTCTTTGTTTTTCTTATAGATTGCCCATCAAGGACCATAAAAATCGTAAAAAGTACTTTGTTCTTCCCTTCGATTCCGTCAAGCAGCGCTGTAAGAAGGCCAGCCCAGATGTGGTCACATCCTACATACTCCCAGGCATCGAAATGGATGAAGATGTACCGTGTACCTTTGAGTTCTTCAGAACCGGAAGCAGGGTAACAAAAAATCATATGCCAAATGAGTGAAAGCAGGGAATACTTTCCCCCACTTTTCTCCCCCTCTGTGGGCATGTGGCCTGTAAAAGAAAGTGGGAAGCACAACATTTGTACCAATCTGTACTCATCATCACAGGTGGGATGAGTCTGCTGCAGTCCACAGCTGGTGGGGGGGGTCGGTCATTTTCTGGTCATCACTTAGGAACATAGGAAACTGCCTTATACTGAATCAGACCATTGGTCTATATAGTAGTAGTAGTAGTAATAATAATAATAATAATAATAATAATAATAATAATTTATTTGTACCCCGCCCATCTGGCTGGGTTTCCCCAGCCACTCTGGGCAGCTTCCAACAAAGATTAAAAATACAATAAAATGTCACACACTAAAAACTTCCCTGAACAGGGCTGCCTTCAGATGTCTTCTAAATGTCAGGTAGTTGTTTATCTCTTTGATATCTGGTGGGAGGGCGTTCCACAGGGCGGGCACCATTACCGAGAAGGCCCTCTGCCTGGTTCCCTGTAGCTTTGCTTCTCATAGTGAGGGAACCACCAGAAGGCCCTCAGCGCTGGACCTCAGCGTCCGGGAAGAACAATGGAGGTGGAGACGCTCCTTCAGGTGTACTGGACCAAGGCTGTTTAGGTCAACACCAACACTTTGAATTGTGCTCGGAAACGTACTGGGAGCCAATGTAGGTCTTTCAAGACCGGTGTTATGTGGTCTCGGCGGCCACTCCCAGTCACCAGTCTAGCTGCCGCATTCTGGAAATATAGCTCCATATCTACCTGCACTGACAGTCATTAGCTCCCCAGTGGTTCTCTGGCAGGGGATATTCCCAGCCCTAACTGGAGATGCTGGAGATTGATCCTTAATAATAGAAATCTACGGCTCACAAGCTGGTTTGGAACAGGAGACCACTTCCTCTTTAATCTGTCCTTTTATTTGGTCTGTATCTAGACTATGTGCTTTAGCAGGGCATCACAAATCTCCGGATACCAGTTTGGTGTGGGTATGGAGACACAGCAATGTAAAAGAATGTGGAGTTAGTAGTTAGTTTGTTGGACTGGGACCTGTGAGAAGAAAGTGCAAATCATAGGTCAGCCATGAAGCTCACTGGGCCAATCACTGCTTCTCAGCCCAAGCCATCTCACAGGTTTGTTTTGATACAAGGCGAGCTCCGTGGAGGAAAAATAGGGTATACACATTATTATAAACAAATTACTAGAAGTATGCCTTAAAAATAATTGTGCGTTGAGTACTTAATCTGGCGTTCTCCTGGCCCTGAGCCACTGAGCTTCCCTGATGCAGGATTTCTTTGCAAGAAAGATCCCATGCCTTGCCAATTAACTTCACACCCCTTACCTTCTGCATCCTTCTCTGGGATATTTAAATACAGCTTTGATTATTCTTTTTCGAGTCAATGGTACTTACTTTCAATTTCATCTAGGAGCCTTCTTTTGCTTCTCCCCCATGGTGCGTAGAATCCCATTGTCACTGGTGGGTCGATATTTTGCAGAGACTTTGCCAGGGCTTTGCAGTAAATGGCTTCATGGGTTTCAACTGTACAATTATAACCCATTTTACAGGAAAAAAAGAAAGCAAAAAAAATATTATCTTAAAAACCATGTGGTTAGTAGTTGCAGCAAACAAAGGGAGTTTAAGTGGGCACATCCTATGGCAACCATAGGCATGAAATAAAGAGTTCAAGGCAGGCTTGGGTGACAAGGGCTTTGCCCTTTAGCAACCTCAAATTGTGGTACCCACATGAACAACCAGGATCTGAAAAGGATGCTGCAAAAGCACAGGGTCAAACTATGTGGGCAGGAGGCAATCCCACCTCATACAACGCCTGCCCATCCAATGCACTGAAGCGCAGTGACTGAGACTGAACTGCATTCAGTGAGCAGTTTTGTACACCCTCTGACTGACCCAAAGGACCATGCTGTAGACCAGTGGTGTCCAAACTTTTTTCAGAGAGGGCCAGATTTGATGAAGTGAAGGGCCGTGGGTGCTGACCAAAGGGCCAACCCAAGTTGTTGAGCTTTTTTTAGGATTGAAAAATTGGGTTGGAGTTGTTGAGGTTTTTTAATAAGGAAATAAACTGACCGGCGGGCCAGATTAGGCCCCTGAAACGGACTTTGGACATGCCTGCTGTAGACACCAATAAACACTGTGAGATGCATGTCAGGTGGAACTATAACCAATGTGGGCCCTTAGATGGCCTAACATAGGGCTGGAAAGTTCCAAATGTCGAGTCCGCCGTATATCCTCGCTCCCGAAACCCAAATTGCTAGCAGTAGATTCAGTGCAAAAAATAAAGTTTACCAAACCAAGACACATCCATCTCCAGCCATGTGAAGCCATGATTTGTAATAGCCCCTACGTGCTATTTAATGAGGAACTGCCCATCATGGTCACCAAACAGTGGACTGGCAGAAGGCTGACTTAATGACACATTTACCCATGAAAGCACCTGGGCTGTGACAGTAAACCATGACATTTCTGCTATCAGTGGAAGAGAAGCAAACTCAACAAAGGTGATCAAAGAGGGCACCATTGACCACTTTAGCACAGACAGCATAAAGATTTGAAGATGCCAAGAGGGGAATGGAATGGGCAAATATGGCCCCCTGCCCAGTTCCACCCATTCTGCACCACAATGCAGTAGGACGATTTGTAGGCAACGGCACTCCGGGACCCGTTCCTGGAGTGATCAGAAAGGGCCATCACTGCCAGAGCCCTCTGGGTCTGGCAGCTGAGAGGGAAAACTGATGTAATAATCAAGGCACACCTGGATGGTCCCTCATCAGTGCTTGGTGCTCTGGATCACTCATCTTTGTGGCTGGCAAACTTCAGCAGCTGTCAAAAAAATACATAGCGTGAGTGTCTTTGGGCACTGATTTGCTTGGAAGGCTACTTTGAAGATAGTGTGGAAAGTGATGGGCTGTACACAGTCAATTCACGCTGGGCTGCTGACAAGTCCCACCATCCCTACACATCTCCCCGGTCATCTGCAGGCTCAGTTAAAGGGTGCTGGTTAAAGCCTGGATACTTGAATAACTATCTCTCCAGCATTTATGTGCGTGAGTGTCTGAGGGTGGTTGGAGGATAGGTAAAGGGACCCCTGACCATTAGGTCCAGTCGTGGCCGACTCTGGGGTTGCGGCACTCATCTTGCTTTATTGGCCGAGGGAACTGGCGTACAGCTTCTGGGTCATGTGGCCAGCATGACTAAGCCGCTACTGGCGAACCAGAGCAGTGCAGGGAGACGCCGTTTGCCTTCCCGCCAGAGCGGTAGCTACTATTTATCTACTTGCACTTTGACGTGCTTTCGAACTGCTAGGTTGGCAGGAGAGCTCACCCCGTCGCGGGGATTCAAACTGCCGACCTTCGGACCGGCAAGTCCTAGGCTCCACAGCACCACCCGCATCCAAGGTTGGAGGATAGATGGCAGTTAATGGATTGAGGTTGAATCCTGACAAGTACTGTTTTGGGGGGATATGGGGCAGGTGGGTGTGGGGGACTCCCTGGTCCTGAATGAGGTAACTATGCCCCTGGGAGTCATTTTGGACTCACAGCTGTAAATGGAGGCACAGGTCAACTCTGGGTCCAGGGCAGCTGTCTACCAGCTCCATCTGGTACACCGGCTGAGAGCCTGCCTGCCTGCAGACTGTCTCACTAGAGAGGTGAGTTATCTCCCGCTTGGACTACTGCAATGGGCTCTTTGTGGGGCTACCTTTCAAGATGACTCGGAAATTACAACTAATTCAGAATGCAGCAGCTAGACTGGTGACTGGGAATGGTCATGCTAGATAGAAGTCCTAGGGTATACTCTGAAGATACAGGAGACCACCACCTTGCTAAAGCTGAGCTGGACAATATAGGACTTCTCAGTGCACATGCTTAGGATGTGCTGCATTTCCTAAAGATGTGGAAGGTGAACCTAAAATTTACAGATGGTATCTTATTGAAAGAGAATTATATGAAAATGATGTATAGATGGTATATAACACCAGAGAAAGTGATCAAAATGTATAAAAAGGGATCAAAAACCTGTTGGAAATGTAAAGAAAAAGATGGGACATTCTATCATATGTGGTGGGAATGCAAAAAGATTAGAAATTATTGGGAAATGATATATAATGAATTGAAAAAAATGTTTAAAAAGACTTTTGTTAAGAAACCAGAAGCATTCCTTCTAGGAATTTTAGACCAAGATGTAAAAAAAGAAAACTGGAAATTATTTATGTATGCAACAACAGCGGCAAGAATTTTATTAGCACAAACTTGGAAGACAGAAGAAATACCAAGGAAAGAACAATGGCAAGGGAAACTTATGGAATATGCAGAACTGGCAAAACTAACAGAAAAATTACATGAAAAGGACAACAAAGACTTTAAAAGAGAATGAGAACCATTTATAACATATATGAAGAGGCAACATAAAGAAATGGACTCATTGGCAGGGTTTGAGTAAACAATCACAACTGTATACAACAAAAAATAAGTATATGTATTGAGAAAATTTTGGGGAAACAATGCGCAGGGTGAACAATATGGAAATAAAACAAAACGGGAGTATGAGGGAAGTCCAGGGGAGGAGGGTTGCAATATGAAAAATTGTGAAAGATATAGTTAGAAGAAGTATACATGGAAAAATCAAATAAAATTATTTATCTCAGGATGTGCTCCATTTTCTGATCTTGAACATCTATCTGGGTGCATAAATCATACCCAGATAAGAAAGTCAATCCCTGCCTCCCTTCTTTTTACTCATTAAAAACACTTGCCTGGTAAAAATCCAATGTGAGCGTGGACTGAACTTGCCTGGATTCTTCAGCTGAAATACATGCCACAGAATTAGTAGAGCAGCAGTAACCCCAGACACCGACTCTTGGCTCAGAATCTTGCAGAATATATATTGAATGGGATGTGGCTAATCATGACACCATATGAGCCATATCTTTGCATCACAATGATGGGAAGTAAGTTTACGTGAACC